AATAATTCCCAATAAGATAGCATTTCTAGTTTAGAATCAAGAATGCCACTTGATTTCAAAATTCTAATTTCCCATCTTCGACTTGTGCTAAACATCACCCTAGAATTACACTTCACATAGCACATCGTACAAGATCGGTATTAAGATGGATACAAAAGACTTCAATATATTTGTCTCACTATACTAAACAAAAACCCCAAGACATGGCATAATCTCATACAAATCGTCGGCCACAAATCAATAACCGCTATATGGCAACAAAGAAGCTCTTCTCCCCCTCTTTGGGCTGCACCCTGACCCGCTCAATAATCGGATCAGCACAGCTAATCCGAATACGCTCAGGGGTAGCAGGGGACTCCAAAGAGAGCACGTCATTCACGTTCCACTGCTTACGTGCAGCCTTCAAGGCATCACGAATAGCAAAGAACACCGCACTACCCATAAACAAGGGCGGCTCACCAACACCACGAGAGCGTTGAATGGTGCGCAAGTTCTCCCACTCCACATCCTTAAGCAAACTCACGTTGAAAATCTGCGGGATATCACGGAAGCCGGGGATTTTGTAGTTGCCCGGGCCTCTGGTGAATATCTGACCAGAGGCACGGTGCCAGAGACTTTCTTCGGTGGTGAAGAGACCTTGGCCTTGTATGAAGGCGCCTTCGATCTGGCCGTAGTCCACTGAGGGGTTGATACTCCGGCCCACGTCCATCTTTATGTCGGCGCGTAGAGGCGTCCAATCACCTGTCAGCGTGTCGATCTGGACTTCAGCTGCCGTGACACCTTGTGTGAAGTAGAAGAACATCTGGCCACTGTTCTCGCCCCATACGTAGCCGATATCGGGGGTACGGTAGTATCCTTGTGCGGAGAGGTTGACACGGGCGAAGTAAGCCGCGTGGGCAAGTTCTTTCATGGTGGCATTGGGCATTTTCTCACGGAAAGGACGTAAGCGTTCGTTGATTTGTTCACACGCATTGAATATGGCGTAGCCGTTGAGATCGGAGCTTGCAGAAGCAGCGGTTGCGGAAGTATTGGCCACTGTATTAGTTGCTGTCTCAGAGATGAAGACGCTGGACTGTGGCACTTGCAGCGCTTCGGCGGCGATCATGGTCATCTTTGTGTGAAGGCCTTGTCCCATTTCAACACCACCGTGTGCTACGAGGACACTGCCATCGTGGTAAATGTGAACCAAAGCTCCTGCTTGGTTCAAGAAGAGAGCTGTAAAGGAGATACCGAATTTGGTTGGCACAATTGCCATTCCACGTTTGGACCACTTGTGCTGCGCATTGTATTCCTCGACAGCCTTCCGACGCTCGTTGTAAGAGCTCTCCTCTAGCACTTGCTTGTACATCAGCGGCACGTACCAATCTTTGAGAGGCTGGTTGAAATGCGTCGTATCATCTGGCTTGTACATATTGATAGCCCGGATCTCTTCGGCCGGGATATCCAGATGATCTGCAATCTCCGATATATAACACTCAGCGAAGAACAGGCCTTGCGGGCCGCCAAAGCCACGGAACGCTGTGTTGGATACGGTATTGGTTTTGCAGACCCGGCCGCGCACATTGATGTTCGGTATTTTATACACGCCATCAATGTGCGACAAGCTTCGCTCCACAACGGCACCAGATAAATCTTGTGTGTAACCTCCATTGGCGAAAACATCTGCATCAAGCGCAAGGAGTTTTCCTTCTTTGGTCACACCAACCTTCCATCGGCAGAGGAACGGGTGACGCTGACCGGAAGTCAATATATCTTCATCACGGTTGAGCATACATCGCACGGGTCGTCTTGTTTTTGCAGCGGCAATGGCACAAATACCAGCCAGCTGAACAGATCGCGATTCCTTGCCGCCAAAGCCACCACCAAGTCGCTTCACACGCGATACAATTTTATTCGCAGATACTCCTGTCACCTGAGCGACATAGGCTTGTCTGTAAACGATTAGCTTAAATTATTCTGTGATGAGACGCGGTCGAATATATCGCTACTCACGTTTCGGTAGGATTCTGGGTACCACTCCAAATCTCCATTTCACCATCTTCCGGCTTTGGGATTGCCACACAGGCTTGAGTTTCCAGGTAGAAGTGCTCTTGGCCACCCATTCGCGAGACTCCAGTAAAGATGTGGTCAGCTTGTTTGAAAGCTTCCTCGGTATCACCATTCTTGATGTAGCGATAGTGCTCAAAGTAAGACTCCGCTTCAATGGCCTCCTCAATTGTAAGGATGCTCGGGAGGTCTTCATATTCGACCTTGACAGCCCTCATACCTTCCTCGGCGATTTTAGCGCTAGTCGCCAGAATCGCACCAATCGGTTGACCAGCAGTAGTAACTTCATCGACGGCAAAAAAAAGCTCATCGGACTTGGGTTGCCCCCACCAGTTTGCCTGGGGGTTAGGAAGATCCGTGTGGTCCACGTAGTCCACAACGCCTGGAATGTCCAATGCAGCGGACGGGTCAACGCTGAGGATCTTGGCATGAGGCTTGGTAGACAAAATCATGCAGGCGAATAATTCATTCTGTTGCACAGGAATATCATCTGTGTATTGAGCCTCTCCTGTAGACTGCTTCAACGCTGCAACATGCGGAGTCGCTCGTCCAAGGATCTTCTGCTGATAGGCAACAGAGCTCTCAAGATCTTTTGCTCCTGCAGAAATTGCTCTCTCAATCTCAGCAACAACATCTGGATCTAAGTCCGAAGCCTTGACATCGAGTCCTGAAAGTACATCGTAGTAGAATCTGTAGAAGAAGCCCAGAGCCAAAGACTTCCGGTAACTAGCCATACCGCCAGGAACCCCAAACGGCAGGTTGAAATCCTGCTCCAGTGCGCTCATGACGCCCTCTAGAGTTGCGGGGTTCGTGAACTTCTTGCCAACCAAAAATGCCTCAGCATTCTTCGCTGAGACGGTCATAGGTGCCATGCCACCAAACACAAGATTGGCGCTGACCACATCATTGGTCTCGGAAAGAGTCACGCGTAACGCGGAGTTGACAATGGCAATATCATCATCCTTCCGCTTTGCCTGTTTGTAGGCTCGCATATGCTCTCCCTGCGCCTTCGCAGCTGGAATGCGCAAGGTAGCGATGATTGCGTTGGGAGCGAGGGCAGTCTTTCTGTATCCTTGGAAGAATTCGGTCATTGGAATTTCAGTCTCGCCTTCGAGAGATTTGGCCACGAGGATAGTGTTGGTGGCTACCAAAACTGGGTTAAGATCAGATATGGGCGATGCGGTGGCCAGGTTACCCGCCGGGGAAGCGACATTTCGGATTTGTCGTCCAGCGAAGTAGAGCAACTGCTTCTTGATCGCTTTGAAAGGTTGGCCTCTAACATCTCCGTATTTCTCTACCGCTTGGTCACAGATGTGTTCGAGGTCTGTTAAAGACACATTTGCACCGATCTCCAAGCAATTGTCGTGCAAGGTGAACTGTCGCAATTCGGGGATATCTCCCAGGTAGACGGAGGCCGGGTATCGCATTGCCTTGAACTTAATCTCAATCTGTGTCTCCGTGCTTCCACCAATTAGTTTAGCATCTGGGTGGACGTTCTTAATCTGCAACAGTTGCTCGACGGTCACCGGTCGGTACCATTTCTTCTTTTTGTTGCCATATGCTAAAGGTCGGTATTCGTGTTTCCGCAGGGCGGCAGGGAAGATCAACTCTGTGTCTGGACTGTACGGCTTGAAGTCCGGTGCAGGAAACTTGTAATCGACCGTCTCGTTCTCGCCATTGTTGGTAGCAGACCCTTTACAGCAGCCACCGGAGCCCTTTTTCTCCATGCAGCAGCCCGACCCACCATTGGCAGAGGCCTTTCCACAGTTGTTGCTAGAGTTGAAGCTCTGAGCAGCATCTAGGATAGGTCGGTAACCCGTGCAGCGGCAAAGGTTTCCATCGAAGGCTTCTTCGACATCGTGCTCCGAGGGAGAGGGGTTGTTTCGCAGCAAGGCATAAAGAGACTTGAAGCTATCAGTCAACTTCGGATCCCCTCCAAAAAACGAATCAAGCGAAAGGACCACATAGGCGTACCATGACTATTCCAGGAGTACAGAAACCACATTGACTTCCATTACCGATCGCAATCCGCTGCTGGATGGCGTGGGGATCCTTCGAATTCCCAATCCCTTCGACTGTGATAACGTGCTTACCATCAATGCTAACGAGTGGAGCAATACAGGCATTCACGGAGGCATGGTAGATTTTCCTCGTTGTAGGATTGATATGGGAGACGACCTATAGACCGTATACCGCTCTGGTTAGCACTAGGTGCGTGTAACCCGATATAGTTGACTAAAACCCACCACAGTGCAAGCACCACACCCTCCCTCGGCACATCCAAGCTTTGTGCCTGTCAACCCAATACCCCGCAGGTATTCGAGTAGAGTCACTTCCGGGTTGATCGTGTCTATCGCAACCTTGGTTCCGTTGAGGTAGAACCGAATAGTGTCATCCCAGTCCTCAGTCAATGCAGACAGGCTGGTCGGTTTCTCAACCGCGACCGTGGAGTCCGTTTCTAGGATTCCCGGCGCCATGGTGGAGATGTAGGGATTGTGGCGATATGTAGAGGTAGGCTTTCAAGGGCGACTTTAGGTGCGCATCTTGCTTTTATAGCAAGTTGGGCTTTCCGCGACGACATAAACCTATTACTAAAACGAAGTCTTCGAAAAGTCAGTTTCAAAGGAGGGGAAGTCCAAAACGATGAGATCAAAACTCCAGATTCCGATATCAGGTAGGCCCCCACTTGGGGAGTTTCCGTTATCTTATGCGGGGATCGCCACTGTCCGATGGGAAGTCGGATGACTGTCGGATTCCCGTCCGCCTTCAGAGCTACCCAGTCGTTTTGCTGGAATTACTACTCCGTACTATGTGCATAATAAGTCTTGAAGATCTGCCAACTTGGTGAAACTTCTATATCTGAATTACGCCAAACCAAAATAAATAAATAAAAATATGCTAGAATACATATATGAGAGAAATGGTCTGTAGATGGTAACCCCGTAAATGGACGCTCATGGCCTCGAGCCAGCAAAAGGTTTCTCTTGCTCTTCCCACTTCTGGCGTTCAACAACGCTTCGAGCCCTATAGAATAACGGAATTAGCAATAGCCTATGAGACATTATACTGAGGAGGCAACGACTTACCGATAGGCCTTAACAAAACGCCAAACCTCTGTGTCTGCAAGGTTCCAAGCCTCAACAACATCCTTGATGTTGATGCGGTTCGTTTCCTTGGTCTTAATTACCTCGCGAGCCTTCTGGATGAGTTCGTATTCTTTGCCGACTCCTTGTTCGCTTGGCGTGCGATCCTGAGCGCTCTTGGCGGAGTCTTTGTCGTTCTCAGTTGCGGGATCAATCTTACTCCCACGAGGGATCTTGAAACCAAACTGCCATTCAAACTCGTCCAAGAGCTCTGAGGGGAGACTCTGGCCTGCCTGGGCAGGGAGAGATTCCACTGTCATCCACAAAGAAGTTCCGACAGCGTCTTCGCCTGCGACAACCTGCTTGAAGATCACTCCCCGGTATGAAGAACCCAATTCGGGCCCAAGGTGTTCCTTGGTCACCTCAGACAACCATGCGTCGCGCTCGGTCTCCCGGCGAACTTGTGGTGTAGTGATATCTTCCGAGTTCTTCTGCAGGCTAATAAGAGTGTAGGGGTGAGGAAGGGTGCCAATCGTAAACAAGAAGGTGGTGTTTTTATAGGTCGAAGGCTGGCTGATACGCATGGGTTGCTTTGCAGACCCAAACCCGCATGGGCGGCATTCGGGTTCATTAGGTGGACAAGAGTCGGGAATGGGCGACTCGGGGCACTGAATAAGAGCCTTTGCCAGCCGAAGGGCAGGTTCCACCAGCGCGGTAGTGTGCTGAGGGAACGGTTTCAGCACGGCCAGTCCAGCGGGGAAGGAGCTATGGAAGTGATTGTGCAGGTGGGAGTTTATCAGTTGGACAAGAGCCAGCTGACCACTCGCAGGGTTCTGGGTCATCTTTTCATGCACGGTAGAGTAGCGAGAGGTGATGGCTGCAGATTTATAAAATGCCAAAGCGCTCGGCGGCTCAACCTTGAATGATTCCGGTTCAATGAGATCAATAAAGGACTGGGTTTTATCATCGAGCTTCAGAACTGCGCTCTGAACGGCTGCATCGATCCGCGACTTGTCCGCCGCGTATAGGCCATTCTTGAGGTTTTCAAATCGGGTAATTGACTCTGGGACACTCCCCCGGCGAAGATACGAGAGCATGGGATCGTCATAACGCGCCATGGGGAAGCAGTGGAAGTCCGCAAGCAAGCCGGTGCCCATGTGCCCCCACGCAAGCCAGGCGAACACCTCATTCTGTGTTTTAGGCGCGAGTTTCCACTTCTGAACAACTTCATAGTTGGGGTTTTTCATCGCATCGCCCGGAGTCAATACCACGGGCTTGAATCCTTGCGCAAACCATGCCCGACGCCACGCGAGAAGCAATTCCGCATCGGCATTCTGCAAGTCCTTGAGATCCTTGCCATTGGCTTTGTTGGGGTTATATTTCGCATCGTAGTATGTGTAGATCGATCGACGTTCGCGAAGGGGAGGGAGGACGGAGCGATTCTCATCCAATGTGATGGCAGAGGAGAATGGGTTCAACCATTCGAGGGTGCTGTACCATTTTGATTCGCCGTGGGTGCTGTTGTCCTGTTCCTCGGGCTGCTCGTGGGAGGGAGGGCGGAACGAGGGCAGGTGGAAGTTGCTTAGTGAAGGTAGTTTTGGTGTGGGCACAAACTTGGCCGGGCCTGTGGCTGATTCCTCGCCAGCATCAGGGACCGGAGAGGACGAGAAAATGAAAAGCAAAAGCGCGACGAAAACAATTACAGACAGGAGGGCTGTACTCCTGTGAGGAATCATATTTCCAACATTCAAACCAGAGGACCTGTATAGAGGCCCGTCAAAAGTTGAAAAAAAAACACGTGTGGCTTCAGACCGCGACACTTCTCCTGAAACTCCGCCTCGAACGAAGACCAGATTTGGCCAATGCAGGCTTGGCAAGAAAATGACGATAGGTATGAAGACAACTCAACACACTTCCATCTGAATCTCTTAGACTGAATTGATATCACCCTGGCTTCCAATGATGAACCAAATACAAAATATAACCCTTGATAATAACCCTTCTTGCTAGGATGGTGATGCTGGTTCCTTACTTGCCTGAGGTCCAAAGCAAATGATGACTCAGCTAATCCATTGGAGATGGATGACCTCATCTGAAGAGTGGTCCGTGAACCTCGAGAAGCTCTGGAGTATAAAATGTCTTGGTTAACAACCAGGTATATTCTCAAGATTCTAGTATCTCTCTTTGATTTACCATCATAGTTGACATTTCTATTCGCTATATACATATTGTGTTCATTTACAAGCAACTAGCAGTGATCCATGAGCAATATATGTCTCCGTAGGCACCTACGTTTGACGAAGATTAATGGAGCTATGTGAAAATTTTGTAGGATGATATATATCAGTGATGCTCCACTAAATTATATATACATATCTTGGAACTACCGGCATATGCTATGTTTCACATATATATCTTGATTTTCCATCTATATGTCCTCTTCACCAAAATGAGACCTAGTTAGGGTTATACTCTCAGCACCCTAGGAATGGCTGTCTGGGCAAGTCTAGTCCCAGCATGCCAAAGAAATTCAGTGGAGAGATCAAACAAAAAAAAAGTAACTAGACTTCCTTATATAATGTACGATGTTACTCCCTACAATGTACAACCTCACCCTATTTCTGCCAATCTGTGCCGCTCTGGGCTGGAGAAACCTAAACTCCGACGCCACCCCACCATGTAACAAGGCGGTGAATACTATGTGGGGAAAACAGCTAATCAGCGCCTCCATTCTCATTGGCAGAAATAGCGGCGAGATCGGACTTTTCCACTATGGGGGGGGGGAATTTTAATATTGAGTCATCGTATCTTTCATTCTCCAACTATTTTGAATATACTGCAATTATGGCTGTGGGAGCGGCCTCTTTGCAGGACCGCCTGGAGATATGGGCACAAAGGTTGAACAACCTGACTGTCTCTCCATTGACTCGCGATTATCCCGATACACAAAAGACCGACAGCAAGAGAGTGATTGAAGCTTTTGAATCTCTACAACTCCCCAAGGAGAAGCTTTCGGGGTCATCATCCGGTTTCACCGCTTTCCTGACTTCCTTCATTATTCTGGTAGCGCGATTGACTGGTGATGAGGACATCGCTGTGGGCACAAACTCCAACGAGGATGGCCGTGCATTCGTCATCCGGGTCCCCATTGATACCTCGGAGTCGTTTGCCCAGCTCTATGCCAAAGTAGACAAGGTATGTATGTATGTTTCTTGCTATAGGGTTTACTGCTAAAAGACTTGCAGGCATTTAAGGAGGGCGCTTCCCAAATCGTGCCCTTGGGCAGCCTTCGCTCGTACATCCAGGAGAAGTCCAAGTCCGAACGCACCCCAGTCCTCTTCCGATTCGCCGCATATGATGCCCCTGCTGCCTCACAAGATTACCCTGCAAACACCTTCGATACTACTGATTTGGTGGTTAACGTTGCACCGGGTTCAGCTGAGGTCGAATTGGGCGCTTACTACAACCAGCGTCTCTTCTCGAGTGCTCGTATTGCTTTCATTTTGAAGCAGCTAGCCAGTATTGCTAGCAATGCTGCTGCCAATCCGGATGAGGCCATCGGCCGTATCGACTTCATGACCGAAGATCAGCGCGCACTCTTGCCCGACCCAACATCCAATTTGAACTGGTCTAACTTCCGTGGTGCCATCCATGACATTTTTACTGCCAATGCGGAAAGCCACCCAGACAAGTTGTGTGTGGTTGAAACCCAGTCGAGCAGCTCCCCTCACCGCGAGTTCACCTATCGCCAAATCAATGAGGCCTCCAACATCCTCGGCCATCATTTAGTACAGTCTGGCATTCAGCGAGGAGAGGTTGTGATGGTTTATGCTTACCGTGGTGTTGACTTGGTGGTTGCTGTCATGGGAATTCTGAAAGCCGGTGCGACTTTCTCCGTTATTGACCCTGCCTATCCTCCGGAACGTCAGAACATCTACCTTGATGTTGCCCGTCCCCGGGCTTTGGTGAACATTGCAAAGGCTACCAAAGATTCAGGTGAACTTTCGGACATCGTGCGTGCTTTTATTGACGAGAATCTTGAGCTCCGCACCGAAATTCCTGCGCTTGCCCTACTCGATGATGGAACTCTCTCCGGTGGATCCATCAATGGTCAGGATGTCTTCGCCAACGAAGTCGCACTGAAGTCCAAGCCTACTGGTGTCGTCGTTGGTCCTGACTCTATTCCGACCCTGTCTTTCACGTCCGGCTCGGAAGGCCGGCCGAAGGGCGTTCGTGGCCGTCACTTCTCTCTGGCATATTATTTCCCTTGGATGTCTGAGACTTTTAAGCTCACCCCAGACGAAAAGTTTACTATGCTGAGTGGCATCGCTCACGATCCTATTCAGAGAGACATTTTCACCCCATTGTTCTTGGGTGCTCAACTCTTGGTGCCCGCTCGTGAGGACATCCAAAACGAAAAGCTTGCTGAATGGATGCAGAAGTACGGTGCCACCATTACTCACCTTACGCCTGCTATGGGTCAAATTCTTGTCGGTGGTGCCTCTGCTCAATTCCCTGCTCTTCACCACGCATTCTTTGTCGGTGACATTCTGATTAAGCGAGACTGCCGCTCACTCCAGGGACTTGCGCCCAATGTCAGCATTGTGAACATGTACGGAACAACCGAGACCCAGCGTGCTGTCAGCTACTTTGAAATTCCTAGCTACGCCAGCCACGAGGGCTACCTGAACAATATGAAGGATGTGATTATGGCTGGTCGCGGAATGTTGGATGTGCAGATGCTGGTTGTCAACCGATATGATCCCACTCGTCTCTGTGCTGTTGGAGAGGTCGGCGAGATCTACGTTCGTGCGGCGGGTCTTGCAGAGGGCTACCTTGGTTCCCCAGAACTGAGTGCGAAGAAGTTCCTTACCAACTGGTTTGTTAAGCCTGAAATCTGGGCGGAAAAAGATCAAGCCGAATCCAAGAACGAGCCCTGGCGCCAATTCTACGTTGGTCCTCGTGACCGCCTTTATCGCAGTGGTGACCTTGGCCGTTACACACCGTCTGGAGATGTTGAATGCTCTGGCCGCGCTGACGACCAAGTGAAGATTCGCGGGTTCCGTATCGAGCTTGGAGAGATCGATACTCATCTTTCTCAGCACCCTCTGGTCCGCGAGAACGTGACCTTGGTGCGAAGAGATAAAGACGAGGAACCCACGTTGGTCAGCTACTTTGTGCCCGATATGAACAAGTGGGCCTCATGGTTGGAGAGCAAGGGCCTTAAGGATGATGATTCTGACTCTGAGGGTATGGTTGGTCTCTTGCGACGCTTCCGTCCTCTCCGCGATGATGCTCGTGACCATCTCCGGAGTAAGCTTCCTACATACGCAGTGCCGACCGTTATCATTCCCCTTAAGCGCATGCCTCTGAACCCGAACGGCAAGATCGACAAGCCCGCACTTCCATTCCCAGACACTGCAGAGCTGAGCGCCGCTGCACCCCGCCGCGCCTCGTCTGCGCTGCAGGCCCTCTCTGAAACCGAGCAGACTCTGGCTCAAGTCTGGGCCAAGCTCATTCCCAATGTGACAGCTCGCATGATTGGACCGGATGACTCCTTCTTTGATCTCGGTGGCCATAGTATCCTCGCACAGCAAATGTTCTTCGAGCTGCGTCGTAAGTGGCGTGTTATTGACATCAGTATGAATGCTATCTTCCGCAGCCCGACCCTTAAGGGCTTTGCTAGCGAGATTGACCGTCTGCTAGCAATGGAATCATTCGCAACTAGTGATGACAAGACTCTAGCTGTGCAAGCTGCTAATGAGCCGGATGACGAGTACTCTAAGGATGCCGTCCAGCTTGTGGATGAGCTGCCTAAGACGTTCCCTCAGCGTACCGAGGCTATGCTCACTAGCGAACCCACAGTGTTCCTTACTGGTGCGACTGGTTTCCTAGGCGCGCATATCCTCCGAGATCTACTTACCCGCAAGTCTCCTTCCACTAAGGTGGTAGCTCTGGTTCGGGCAAAGTCCGAGGAGCAGGCACTTGAGCGACTTCGCTCCACTTGCCGTGCATATGGTTTCTGGGATGAAGCATGGACCCACAAGCTGCAAGCCGTCTGTGGTGATCTTGGAAAGCCGCAGTTTGGTCTTTCCCAATCAGTGTGGGACGACCTTACCAATCGCGTCGATGCTGTGATTCACAACGGAGCTCTTGTCCACTGGGTCTACCCATATGCGACACTTAGACCGGCTAATGTTATGGGCACCATCGATGCCCTCAAGCTGTGCGGCAGCGGAAAGGCCAAGCAGTTTGCCTTCGTCAGTTCGACCAGTGCTTTGGATAAGGATCACTTCGTCCAAGAATCCGAACGTATCATCGCCGCTGGTGGAAATGGTATCAGCGAAGACGACGATATGGAGGGCAGCAGAGTTGGCCTTGGAACCGGTTATGGTCAAAGCAAATGGGCTGGAGAATATCTTGTCAAAGAGGCCGGCCGTAGAGGCCTGAGAGGAACCATTATTCGCTCCGGATATGTTCTTGGTGATTCGGTCACCGGAACTACCAACACCGATGATTTCCTCATCCGTATGCTCAAGGGCTGCATTCAGATTGGCCTTCGCCCAAATATCTTCAATACCGTGAACATGGTGCCCGTCGATCATGTGGCTCGTATTGTCATTGCCACTGCCTTCCATCCACCTGCCACAGGCGTTAACGTCGCCCATGTTACTGGACACCCTCGTCTGCGCTTTAACCAGTTCCTTGGTGCGCTAGAGCTCTACGGATACAATGTCCCCCAGGTTGACTACGTGCCTTGGTCCACTTCCCTTGAGCAGTATGTCAATGATGGCGAGCACAATGACAAGGAGTCTCAGCATGCTCTGTAAGTTACACTTCTCTCAGTCCATTACTGGATACATACTAACCTTTTTTAGTATGCCCCTTTATCACTTCGTTACCACAGACCTTCCCTCCAACACTAAGGCTCCGGAATTGGATGATGTGAATGCAGCGACGGCTCTGCGTGCCGATGCCCCCTGGTCGGGCGTTGACGCATCAGCCGGTGCTGGCGTGACCGAGGAATTAGTCGGCTTGTATGCTTCTTATCTTGTTCAAACCGGCTTCCTGCCCGCACCGACCGTTTCTGGAGCTCGCCCTCTGCCTGCTGCTCAAATCAGTGAGGAACAGAAGAAGACTCTGTTGAGTGTCGGTGGTCGCGGTGGTACATCTTAGAATTTATAAAGAAAAACGCATGTACTCATTCTGATTTTAAAAAAGCATTTACATTTTCAAAACACCCAACAAACTGTAAATTGAGCCATTAAAGAGGTGGCTTGTAGTGTATACAACCCCGATAGTTCAGAGTCGTTCGACTCGAACGAAAAAGCCCGATTCGCCGATCTGCCCGTTCCGTGCTACTCGGACTCACCTTTGGCTTCCGTCTCTTTACTCACTCCTGTCACTTGGGAATTTATATAGCTTAAAAGATATCCTCTTTCTTGCTCTCTTCCATATCTCTCTCCACTATTAGTATTCCATCATGTCTGAAGGTAAGTGTGTGAGCGGTGTTCATGCGCGTTCTTGGCAATTCAACTTCCCCATCAATTTTTCCCGCTTTCTCTCATCACTCAATCCACCGATCAAACCTATCGGAGCTCTGTGAGAAGTACCACGTACCGGTTGTTGGGATTAATTGTCTCCCTGATCATCCGTGTAATCCTCTGGTCTCCCTCAGTCGGCCCTTCATTCCCCAACCCCTGTCATAACCCCCCTTCCTCCGTTTTCCCCTCCATGGGTGCTGCGAGACTCACCGGGCGAACCGGTCTCATTGCGCGTGCACTGCGGGACTCCTGGTACTCACCGGGTTCCCTGATCACGACTCAGTCTCGAGTGACGCGCGGCATGACCGCTGTGTCTGCGCCTCACACCAAGCCCTTCTCAACCTCCACACCCTTCTCCTGCGCCAGCAACCAAAGCACCGGCGCAGCATCACCCTCGAGCTTGGACACACGTCCCAAACCCAAGACCCAGACTGACATCGCTGGTGCGGATCCCACAGATCGATATGCAGCAGGCCTGCGCCTGAACAAGGAATGGGCTGCACAGACAGCCCGCAACCACCCCGAGCTCTTCCCTGCCCTCGCCTCCGGCCAAAAACCGCAGATTTTGTGGATCGGGTGCTCCGACTCTCGCTGCCCAGAAACCACCTTCCTGGGCCTGGAGCCCGGCGACGTCTTCGTGCATCGCAATATCGCCAACGTCCTCCACCCGGGTGACCTCAGCTCCTCCGCCGTTATCGAATACGCCGTGCAATATCTGCGCGTCAACCACGTCGTGGTGTGCGGGCACACTTCCTGCGGTGGTGTCGCGGCCGCCATGGGCAACAAGAACCTGGGTATCTTGGACCCGTGGCTGTTTCCCCTTCGTCAGCTGCGTGAGCGCAACCTTGAGCTTCTGCAGTCCATGACCAGTGAAGAGGCGGCGTCGAAGCTGGCCGAGCTGAACGTTCGCGAGGGCTTAAATATCGTCAAGCAGAAGAGTGTTGTTCTGAATGCCATCCAGGAGCGGGGACTGCAGCTCCATGGCTTGATTTATGATGTTGGATCGGGTGTGCTCAGTGAGCTGGACACTCAGGACTCGGAGGAGGTTATCAGGGCTCGTCTGACGGCTTTCCAACTGGAGTGAGTTAGCGGGTTTTTTTCGGAGTTTGGGATTTTTCGGCCGAAGGCCATCTCATTGAATGTAGTATGAGTGATAGATAGAACACCTCTAGATAGCGACAGTGAACAGCGTACATGGATTTGATGAATTGATGATAAACATAAACATGCCAAAAGATTCCTTTTTTCTTTTTTGGCCCCTTGGGGGGAAACCTCAGGACTACCCCTCATAAATATCGTATGGCATGATGTGTGGATCAGGGGATCCGCAATGGTCAATGGGGTCAACGGGAATCGTGCAAGACCAATCAGTATCCAGGTGTGAAACATCCATGGATCTTTATATTGTGCTTAGGTCCAATCAGACTTTGAGGCTTTACGGCTTTATACGAAGTATGTACAAAGTGTTGTTTGAACGAATTATAATCTTTCTATAACTATAATCTAGGTATCTTTTGTATAGCAACTTCATACAAAAGGTACATAAACACAACATAACTAAGGCACGATGACTGTACCTAGGTACATTCCCGAGGTCACATCTACCTTACGTAGGCTTGCTCTTAACACTTTTGTTGATCTTTCTAGTTCTCTTTATACCTTGGAAATATGCAATGGTGTTAGTAAGTATTTAACTATCACCAATGCCATTCACCAACGCCCAACGTTCGTGGACTAAATAACATCAGTAATACCATCTAGGCCTATCTAGGTATAAACACAACTGCATAATCTACCAAATCATTGGTTTATCCAGAAAGATGAGAAGGTGTAATAGTAACATAAGAGGTGGCTCATACACGTAGAACAAACATATAAGGGTAATCTTCCAACCTTGGAAAGGTCTTCCCAACGTTCCTTCCCTGAGTACTTAAGTTTCCCTCTGCCCTCTCACATCTCAAACTTCTTTTTTCCTCTTCCAGTTCTCACTTGACATCCATCATGGCGATCGATATCTCAGATGGAGTTGGTAAGTATATGACCCTTCTGACATTTGACTATCATTCACCTAGCCACACTAATAATCAAAGCCACCGACGATAGTACAACAGAGCCCGAGACCAAGGATGTCCAGTATGAGCCTGAGGGCACCCTCTGTGATTTCCGCACCCTCTACCAGACAAAGCCCGATGTATATGGCAAACACTCATGGACCAAAGAAGTACCCATCGACTTGCCCGATCCTGTCGAGGATGCAGAGTCAGCACAATACGCACTTATCGTGAGAAAGGAAAAGTGCTATGATGGACGCAGGAGCTTGTCTATTCATTCCGTCATAGTTCAAAGCGAGCGTCTCAAGGAGTTTTTGAAAAAGGCACTGAAGGATTATCCTGGTATCACACCGACCTTGCAGCGCCTTGAGATCACATTACCTTTCCGGCCTTTTGTTCATCGATGGGAAGAAATCACCAAATTGCGAGATGAAGAGCAGGATCCAACTGCCAAGGCTCATGTGGATCTGTTCTACCGCATCATGGACGGGGAACTCAGGGATGTGATTAACCGCAAGAACGACCTGGTTGCCAAAGGTGTCATCACTCACGAGTTGGCTTGGACAATCCTGGAACCTCAAGGTGTGTTCCTTTCGTCGAGTGATGGAGCACTACGTGCGTATTCGTCCACGCAAGCATCAGCGGGATATGAACTATTGCAACATGATTATCTCGAAGTCGAATACGTTGAGTTTGACGGAAGCAAGTTCGGATACAAATACACAGAGTTCACGATACCCCACTTTGCGGGCACTATACCAATTACCTCACTGCCTATCTTTCCACTCGAATACCACCCAGAAAAGGATATTGTCCAAGAGGTGTTGACTGCACGGGGCAAGAAGTGGGAATCGTACAAGGGGTACCATTTCAAATCCTATGAAGATCCTTCGACCAGCACGAGCTCCAAAAGTCAAGACAACAATTTAGGCGACACCAAATATCATGTCGAGCGGCGCGTCATCATCGACACTGAGGCATACAAGCTTTTTGGGCATATGCAGGAAGTCCACCTTGACAGGGAGATCGATGGAGAACTGGATGATGCGCAGCGCCTCATTGCAACCCCAATGCTCCGTGGATATTCTCTGAATGACAAGGAATGGGATTCGTTCCACGTGGATCATTTGAAAGACATTGAGTGGAATGAGCAGGCCTTTGAGTCACTAGTCCTACCGCGGGAGCAGCAGGGGCTCAAGGACGTGATCTTGGCCGTCGCAAAGGCTCAATCCAAGAAAGTGGATACATTTGACGATGTCGCTCGGGGAAAAGGCCAGGGGTTCATTATGCAGCTCAGCGGTCCTCCGGGGGTCGGAAAGACCCTGACTGCGGAGAGCGTTGCTGAGGTTATGAAAGTGCCTCTTTATGTCATGAGCGCGGGTGACCTTGGAGTTGACGCTAGTGTCTTCGAAACAAAATTGAAACGCATCCTGCAGCTGGTTCCCAAGTGGGGTGCTCTTCTATTGCTTGATGAGGCTGATGTCTTCATGGAAGCCCGTGATTCAAGCAATCTCGATCGCAATGAGCTTGTCTCTATCTTCTTGAGAATACTTGAATACTACGAGGTAAGCTCCGATCTTGGGATTGTCAACGCCAGAAGATTGGGTGGGGGCCAAATACGCAAAAATGACATGTTACTGATCTTCTACCTTTTTCTTCAGGGTATTCTCTTCTTGACCACCAACCGTACACAGAATATCGATCCTGCCTTCGAGTCTCGGATCCACCTTTCCCTCACCTACAAAGAGCTCGATGCGGAATCCAGGCGCCAGATTTGGAGACAGTTCCTAACCCGCTCATCGAACATTGAGGCCTTCACGGATGAGCAACTTGACCAGGTGGCCGAGCTGCAATTGAACGGTCGCCAGATCAAGAATGTGATCAAGACAGCCGGTCTCTTGGCTTGGTCCAAGGAACGTGAGCTTCGATATGAAGATCTGAAGACGGTGCTTGCTCTGGACGATTTGCAAAAGTAATGCCTGGTGAGACAAGGGGGCATACTTCGTACTTCGTATTGATATTGAGATAGCTACCTAGCAATACCCACAGACTATTCGAATTCCAAATCAAAAATGCAATTTATGGCTCAATTTTGTGTTCTGTAATTTTCCCAGTATGTTGATATGCAAGTTGCCGAGTGTGTTGTATTTGTGTTGTATGTGTTGCCATTGCCCTCCGCCGCTTGCCGCCCGTCCGCCGGTCCATGGGTCCGAGTACAGGGCTGAGCAGGCAACACCCAAAAACACATCAGCCAAGACTTTCACTCCTCCAGTCATTGTCGATACAACCTTGGCTCTCTTGGGGGCGAACAATGTCATCTTCACTGTTCCAACAAATACTTCCGGCAGGCCCCGGGGCCGTTCCCCCTGAACCGCCCTGTCTATAGGGCTACGGGGCTCTTCGTATTCGCATACGCACACTCCGGCCCACTCCGTTCCATACGACATGGATTATGTTGAATGCAATTTCAAGACAACATTGCCTCTTAAGGCTGAACAAATGACATTTCCCCGGAACGCCGATCATTATCGGAACAAAATGTACACAGCATATCAACACTAAAACATCAAAACACCCATCATCTCCAAGGCTGAGCAACGGCCCCCTGATTCAGGTCCACCGTGTGTTGGCTAGTGCACCCGCACGATCCGACGGTTTTACAATTATAATCCAAGCGATCTAGCGCCATGGCACAAGTCCGATAGTATGCTGTTGTGGAGCACGCGAGCAGTCAATTTCTGTCTCCCTATTTTTATCATCTTTTCCCTTTTTTTCTTTCCCTCTGCCCCTTTGTACAGTTTGTATAAACGGATTGGAAAACAGTCCGTGTCGAAAGATTTCCTCATGTTGGCCGCTTTTTGCGTTGGGCCATTATGATTGTCACTCGTTTTCATCATCCGCAGCGCTTGATTTTGTCTATTTTGGTGCTTTCCGGTCTCTGCTCCAAGTTGCTTCACATATACCAACATCGATCTCTTCCCCTATACTTTTTGGCCCTCTATTTTCCCACATTCTTTATTCAGGAGCTCCTCCTATTCGTTGCAGTATGGATTCTCTTATATACGACCTCTGGTCGGTGGTCAGTGGCCGCCGTTATCGGATCAGCGATTGTCGCGTTGGTTAACCTTTTCCTAAATGCGATGGGCAACAATATTGACTTTTACCCTTAGATGCATTGATTTATTAGCAACGTCGTCGCAAGTTAGTTTCTATTGTCAGACCGGCAGCGAAATTCGATGGGATGCAGCCAGATCTGTGGGCGCCAGTCGGCAGGGAATGAAGTTAATATTGAGCGGACTGGTTCCTATGGCTGCCGCTACAACAGTGATCGCGGTGGCTTCCTGGCTTATGGCTCAAGGGATCTGGAATCTTATGACCCGCTGGCTATGCTCCCTCTCTAATCTCGGAGACGCCAAGTCTTCCGCCGTGTTATCGGGGCCCTCGGATCTGAGAAGTCTAGTGTCGAATAGATCTCGATTATGGACGCTCGTGGGCACTGGAATAACGATCGGACTCTGGCTGATCCGGCCATCAATCCCATACAATCATATGACGGGAGCTCTGCCCTTCACCATGCTCGGCGAACAATCTCGGGCTCGTCGGATGACCATCGAAACATTTCCGCTACCTGAATTGCTGGCGGAGGAATATCGGGAACCTGCTAATGGGCACTATAAGGGGTGGGCACCGACATTGGACGACTCGGGTAACACTGCCTATGGAAATAATAAGCCAGCCTGGGCACGAGGCCCTCTTCCTGCTGCGTTTGAGAGATGGATTGTGAATTCCGATTCAAACGGGATCGAAATTACCTTGGAGGCATCTAACTCGACTGTTCAAAGCGTGTCCAAGAGGGAGGAAAACAAATCCGATTCTGAAAGCAAGAACAAGACAGCTGAACCGCGACACTACTTCTATAACCCCGTTCAGGATCCCATGAGGATAAGCAACCTTGACCTGGAACCACTTGGTCCTCTGAAGGAGGCTCTGAAGGACCATGCCATCCCCATCAACCACATCGTCTTCGTGTTCTTGGAAAGCGGTAGGAAGGATCTGTTCCCCCTCAAAAATGATTCTCGCTTGTACCAACAAATCCGTGAATCATATGAATTATACGATGAGGAGGATGAAGCCGATCTAGACGACAAACTGTCCCAGATTACCCCCGTGGCAGAGATGCTTACAGGGGAGCAATCTGGCTTCGTTTCCTCGGTTAACTCAACGAATACCGGACTAGGTGGTCTCAGCTTCGACGGGATATTGTCCGGGAGTACTCTCTCTGCGAAATCGCGTCTTGTCAACTACTGCGGTCTGGGACCGCTCCCGGTGGACTTTATGCATGAAAATGATATCATTCCATACCAGCCGTGTCTGATGCACATCATGGATCTATTCAACCAGCGCAAGAAGTCTGCTGGCTCTAAGGATGCTTCTGGCTCTGGGAATTCCACCAGCTCTGGGAACTCCACCAGCTCTGGGAACTCCACCGACAGTCACCTAGAACGGGAATGGCAAACCATCTATGCCCAGTCTGTCACTGGAGAGTTCCAGGCACAGACTCGGCTTATGGATCTGCTCGGTTTCCAGCAGACATTGTACTCGGAAGACATTGATGTGGAGGATGCGAAATATTTCCATGAGGATATGGAAAAGATCAACTACTTCGGGTATGTTGTCGGGCAGAATGTCCCGCAGCTGTTCCTCACGTGTAAATACTAACTTGGGACAGTTATGCGGAAACTGAGGCCCGCCCCTACATCAAAGATTTGATCGACGAAACGCTTCGTCAGAACAAGAGACTCTTCCTTTCACATTTCACCAGCACAACTCACCACCCTTGGGGTACACCCGAAGGCTGGAACCGAGATAAATATTTCGGTGATCTCCACAAATCACAACACGAACTCATGGATGACTTCCTCAACGCCAACCACTTCGTCGACACATGGCTCGGCGAATTAATGGGCATGCTCGGAGAAGCCGGCATCGCCGACGAGACCTTGACAGTCTTCGTGGGAGACCAGTATGTGCAATTCCCCACAAGTGACCACCAAACCTGACATCTAACCAACGAAACAGCGGCCAAGCATTTGGAGAAGACTGCCCCGTCACAGGAACCTACCACAACCCCCACATCAGCAACTTCCGCGTACCCCTAGTATTCCACCACCCCTTATTACCCCGCATGCACCTTAATGTCAACGGCAGCGCCGTATCCATCCTCCCCACGATCCTTGATCTCCTCGTGAACACCAACTCCCTCAACGCAGACGACACAGAAATTGCCCTGGATCTGATGAACGAGTACGAGGGCCAGTCCCTCATCCGGCCGTACCGCACCTCGCACAATGGCCGCGAAGCCTGGAACATGGGCGTTATTAATGCCGGTGGCTCGATGCTGAGTGTTGGTTCCGCTGCTGTGCCCTGGCGGCTCAACCTGCCTTTGAACAATGACTTCGAGTACCGCTTCACGGACTTGGACAAGGACCCGTACGAGCTTGAGCCTGTCACAGGCTGGACTATGGGGTCGCTTGCGGCGGAGGTTCATTCCAAGCATGGGCCTGAGGCTTTTGATTGGGCTCAGAAGGCTGAGAAGGTTGGCCTTTGGTGGGTTGCGGAGCGGAAAAAGCTTTGGAATTATCGTGATCCTGACGAGTGAGTGGCTGTTTACGATGGTAGGCAGCTCGTGTTTTGTTTTCTTTTTTGTCCTTGGAGCGATTTGCATAGCATGCATTCTGGGGTATGTGTTTTTTTTGGGCTCACTGCTGGCTACCCAGGGCTTACTAGATGTGAGATAGCTTGGTTACCTTCCGGCTCTGTATAATATTCGGATTGGGTGGACCTGCTGTATATAAAAAGATATGATCTGTGCGGTTTTCTATTCGTATCGATTCTACTCCGTAGGGCAGCTATGATGGCATGGAATAGTCAACACATCAGAACAGTCCCTGTCGTTGTACTGCTTCATTGATTAATATACTACATATACACCGGATTTTAGGCCGCGCAAGTTGGGTTTCCGTTTCCGCTTTAGAGCTCACCCCTTAGGGCTCATGGGCCTTGGATATCTTGGGCGCCTGGTCATTTAGTCTAATCCTCTTGCGTTTCTTGTTTGGTTATATAGAGTAATCAGTCAGAGAGCGGGGAATTATTGATATCAACGATATTTTCTTGTTTTGCATCTCAAACTCCTTTGATTGGATTGATATACGATCATTGCTTGTTTCTCCAGTCTGCTGTTAAGAAGAACCATCCTTGTGATAGCGTACCCGCCGGTCGTGGTGGCCTTTGTGGCCTTCCTATAGGATGGCTGGCTTCTTGCTGAGGAGGATAAACGCAAAAACCAGATTTTTAGAAGCCAAGTGTATTTATAGCCCAAAAAATGGTAATCATGAGTTACTCAGTGATGCTGCATGCGATGAAGTACACTCACGCTACATGTTTAGAAAACAACTTCAATGAGTGAAATTTTCAAGTCGTTCAAACGAAATAAAATACTCCCCATTAATCATAGAAAGCGTTTACTTATGCAATGGGCTCAACCTTTTGTCACGCTTGGTAAAACTTGAATGGTACTCTCAAATTTGATCAGCCAAATGCTAGTCCCGCAATGGATTTCATCATCAATACCATAAACAGCGTATACAGCCAGCCGGCTTAAGAACAACCTATTTCTGAAAATTACGCAGAGGGTGCAAGAAACTTCATGGTTTTCCTGCGAGGCATAATGCAGCCTCAACAGTTTGGCGTCGAAACGCCGGACCATGTCCGAAGCAAACGCACTCAGCAGCGAGGTCTATTTTTAATTTATTAGTTTTTTGAAGCCAATGTATGCCTCGCCAGATACTCACACTGAACAAGGGCCGCAACGTGAGGCAACGAAATAATGTATGAGTGAGACAATGGGCGGCCATTCTCCTGGGTGCAAAATCCCCTCTCGCTGAGGAATTTCTGTACACCACTAGCATCTAGCCATCCGTCGACCTCGGATGCGACGGCCGATTCCAATTTCTCAGTCTGGGTCGCAAGCTCTTCCGAGGCATAATAATCTCTCTTAGAACGCAACGGGGCAAGTACAGTGGCCATGAGATTAATAAGCCCTCCAGTTTTGTCATGCATTCCAGCATGAAAACAGGAAATGAGATTATTGCGCTCAGTTGGAGGCATATATGGCCCGAAAACTTCTTGAATCTTTATGAAGTCGTCAGGAGTGTTCATAAGGAGCTGATACCCATTCTGACAGCATAATTTTACTAGATACTGTGAGAAAGTCCACTGCTCTTCCCTGATCGATCTAGTGAGAGCAATGGGTGGGGAGTGACCTGGTAGTGATGATAGCGGAATAGGTGGTTCAGTAGCGAGCGGAGGCATGACAAGACTGATTGGAGGCGCCGGTTGGCCTTGATAAAGGGATGATTGTGTGTATAAGGGCGGCAGCTCAGCCCATTCCACCGGGGTTGATGAGAGTCCGGTAGAAGCTCTTTCATTTGACGGCACCCTTGCGCGACTGTCACTGCATCTTTCATCCTTGTCAAAAGCAGTGGATGAAGTGGCACCAGCTTCCTTGACGAGAGCACCTTCATAAGGGCTCGCACATCCAGTCTCAGCAAGCGAAAGGTGTTGCTGGGTTATTTTGCGGAGGGCAGACGTGACGTGTGAATGCTTTCCAAGCAGGCCAGTGTCCAAAAGGAGATCACTGAAGGTGAGAAAGGATTGGCTGAGCTGCTCAATGCCACCCTCAAGCTCGTGGACACGATCCTGTAGGTTGCCAATAGTGTTCTCTTTTCGCGTGCGATACGTTTGCTGTGCCATGCGTAGCTGTTCGCGGCGCCTCTAACGGGAATCAGTCATCGAATACATTTTTGCTTTACATTTCACCCACCTCTAGTGCTTGTTGGTTCTTAAGTTTCAGAGGACGCCCTTTCTTCCGCACCCCGTCTGCCTTGTGTTTTTCTTCCATGATTTGGTGGATTTTTGCTGGCCTGCGGCTGATGGGACCGAGTGGATCTAGTATTCGTGGATAAAGGTAGTTAAAAGCTCATGAAGACCTATCAATTTAGATTATTCATCATCCTGAGCCTCCTCAGATCCTTGGTGGAAATGCGGAAATGTTAAGTAATCGGAAATACGCCCCTCGCATGTCAGCCCCGAGACTCCCAATGCACTTCAGCATACAGAGTAGAGTATGCGAATTATTTTTAACCATAAACAGGTCTTCTCAGATCGACTTGGTATAGGTTCTAGACAACTGTGTAGTTCCAAGACCGGGAGTTAACTTAACAGCCGGGCGGGTTGAGTAATCGCCCGCCCTTAGACGGGGATTCACATGGGTCCTCATTCCCATGGTTTATTCATCATTCTGCGGCATGCAATGACCATATCGCTGATTTAGGGTCGATCCAATTCCTAGACGGAATGATTACAGTGGATCAACCCAAGCTCAAATTCGTACCTGCATGGACTGGCTAGACGCGCCAGAACGAGGTTATTTGAACAGCCTTGCCCTATCCTCATGTATCCTATTATTCTTTTCGTTGTGTTGCATATTGCTTGTAGGTTTCTTGCTTCATACAGCTGCAGACCTGGTGGCTCAGTCCGTATAGATCTTCTTGCGCCCCTCCCCCTACTGCTGCATTGACAAGCACCGCAAGAGTTTTTAAATGGCTCTCTCCACGTCAAGCACCGACAGCAATTTGGAAAAGTTCTCCAGTCTGGAGAAAATCCCAGATCAAACACAAGACATCGATGCCGCGCACATGTCGACAGAAGAGGTGTCCCCAAGGACCCAGACAACATGGCACATGGCCGACGAACTTCAAGGCTTGAAAGAGCGAGACGAGAAAAATGGCGAGAAAGCCCGGAAAGTTGGAGTCACTTGGAAGAACCTCACTGTCAAAGGTGTCAGCAGCGACGCTACATTCAATGAGAATGTCCTCTCACAATTCAACCTCTTCGGAAATCGCGGTAGAAAAGTTCCCATGAAAACAATCCTCGACAACTCCTATGGCAGTGTTAAGCCCGGAGAGATGCTGCTCGTCCTCGGCCGACCCGAATCAGGGTGCACAACATTGCTCAACGTGCTCTCGAACAACCGTCGTGGCTATGCAGAGGTGAGCGGCGACGTTGCCTTTGGAAACATGTCTGCCGAGGAAGCCAAGCAATATCGCGGTCAGATTATCATGAACACGGAAGAGGAAATATTCTTTCCGACATTGACCGTCGGCGAGACCATCGACTTCGCCGCCCGTATGAAAGTCCCATACCACCTTCCTCCAGGAATCAAGTCTGCGGAGGAGTACGCTCAACTCAATAAGGAATTTCTTCTGCGGTCGGTGGGCATCTCACACACTGAATCTACCAAAGTGGGAGACGCGTTCATCCGAGGAGTCTCTGGAGGAGAGAGAAAACGTGTTTCCATCCTTGAGTGCTTGACAACTCGAGCAAGTGTCTTCTGTTGGGACAACTCCACGCGTGGCCTCGATGCTAGCACAGCTCTAGAGTGGATCAAGGCAACCAGGACGATGACCGACGTCCTTGGGCTCACGACCATCGTCACCCTTTATCAGGCAGGCAACGGCATCTACGAGCATTTTGACAAGGTGCTCGTCCTTGATGAGGGCAAGCAGATCTTTTATGGTCCACAGAAGGATGCAGTGCCTTTCATGGAAAACCTTGGGTTTAGGCGCGACTCTGGTTCCAACCGGGCAGATTTCCTGACTGGCGTGACCGTTCCAACAGAACGCATCGTTGCACCAGGCTATGAAAACAAATTTCCTCAGACTTCTGACGCAATTCGTGCAGCCTACGAATCGTCCGGTTTCAAATCCAAAATGCTGGCCGAGTGCTCCTATCCAGAAAGCAAAGAGGCGGCGGAGAACACAGCCATTTTTAAGGAGATGGTGGCTCGGGAAAAGCATCGGGGAGTGCCCGAGAAGTCACCTGTCACCACAGACTTCCTTTCTCAGATCAAAGCCTCCGTCACCCGGCAATACCAAATCATGTGGGGCGATAAGGCAACGCTGATCATGAAGCAAGGCGCCACAGTCATTCAGGCTCTGCTGGGCGGATCGCTTTTCTACAATGCGCCAGATAACTCCGTTGGTCTGTTCCTCAAGGGTGGTGCTCTGTTCTTCTCCATTCTGTATAACGCCCTCATCGCTCTCTCGGAAGTCACAGACTCGTTTACTGGGAGACCTATTCTAGCCAAGCATCGTTCATTTGCTCTGTATCATCCTGCGGCCATCTGCATTTCCCAGATTGTCGCAGACTTTCCCATCCTACTGTTTCAAGTGTCGCACTTCGGCCTCGTTCTCTATTTCATGGTTGGCTTGAACCGCACTGCGGAAGCCTTCTTCACCTACTGGATCACCAATTTCATGACGGCCATGTCCATGACCGCTCTCTTTCGACTAATCGGTGCCGCCTTCCCCACCTTTGACGCCGCAACCAAGGTCTCTGGTCTGATGATTGTCGCATGTTTTGTCTACATGGGCTACATGATCATCAAACCTGAGATGCATCCATGGTTTGTGTGGCTCTTTTGGATCAACCCCATGGCGTATGGATTTGAAGCTCTTCTTGGTAACGAGTTCCATGCGTCAATCATCCCCTGCGTTGGACCGAACCTCATACCAAACGGCCCTGGTTATACCAATGGAGAAGGTGGCCAATCATGTGCTGGTGTTGGCGGCGCTTCACCTGGTGCAACTAGTGTCACCGGTCATGAGTATCTCGCATCCATGTCATTCAGCCATAGCCATGTCTGGCGCAACTTCGGTATCGTCTGCGCATGGTGGGTGCTGTTCGTTGCACTTACCATATTCTTCACCTCCCGGTGGAAATTACCCGGTGAGGGTGCTCGCAGCCTACTTGTTCCCCGAGAGCAGCAGTATAAGTCGAAGCATCTGCTTCTCGGTGATGAGGAATCGCAAGTGTCCACAAAGACTCTGCCAGACTCTGGAGTAAACACTCCACAAGAGACTCTCGGAAAAGAACTCAACGACAACCGAAGCATCTTCACCTGGAAGAATCTTACTTATACTGTCAAGACACCTTCGGGGGATCGAGTTCTCCTTGATAATGTACAAGGATACGTGAAGCCAGGCATGCTCGGTGCGCTTATGGGGTCTTCTGGTGCTGGCAAGACAACTCTGCTCGACGTCCTTGCCCAGCGCAAGACTGACGGAACCATCCACGGATCGGTGTTGGTTGATGGCCGACCCATTCCTATCTCTTTCCAACGCTCCGCTGGGTATGTCGAACAGTTGGACGTGCACGAGTCTTTGGCAACCGTCCGCGAGGCCCTTGAGTTCTCCGCCCTTCTACGCCAGCCCCGCGACACACCTACTAGTGAGAAGTTACGCTATGTGGACACTATTATTGATATCCTAGAGCTGCGGGACCTTGAGTTCACCCTTGTTGGTCGTCCAGGTGCTGGTTTGTCCGTTGAGCAACGCAAACGTCTTACTATTGCGGTCGAGCTAGTCGCAAAGCCTAGCATTCTCATCTTCCTGGATGAACCTACGTCCGGCCTCGACGGCCAGGCCGCATTCAATATTGTCCGCTTCCTACGTAAACTTGCCGAGGCCGGACAAGCTGTTTTGGTTACCATCCATCAGCCGTCGACTCAGCTTTTCGCGCAATTCAATACACTCCTCTTACTCGCCAAGGGCGGGAAAACGGTTTACTTTGGCGACATTGGAGATAACGCCAGCACTGTCAAGAGCTATTTTGCCCGGCATGGAGCACCCTGTCCGCCCGAAGCTAACCCTGCTGAGCACATGATTGACGTGGTATCAGGTGCCACCTCTGAAAATGCCGATTGGAACAAGATTTGGCTGGAGTCGCCGGAGCACGACAAGCTCACAACCGAGCTAGATGTCATGGCTAGGCAAGCGGCTGCTAGACCGCCAGGTACCTTTGACGACGGGCACGAGTTTGCAGCTTCGATGTGGACTCAGGTCAAGCTCGTAACCCACCGCATGAACATTTCACTGTTCCGAAACACCGAATATATCGACAACAAGTTCGCCCTGCATATAAGCCTAGCGCTACTCAATGGCTTCTCATTCTGGATGATTGGGGATCGTCTCACAGATCTACAGAAAAACCTCTTCACCGTTTTCAATTTCATTTTCGTGGCGCCCGGAGTGATCTCCCAACTGCAGCCTCTCTTCATCGACCGCCGCGATATCTACGAGACGCGTGAGAAGAAAAGCAAGATGTACCACTGGGCTCCCTTCGTTGCGGGTCTTATCATCTCGGAGATCCCATACCTGATTGTCTGCGCCTTACTCTATTATGTTTGTTGGTATTTTACTTGTGGACTGCCTACTGCCCCCGGAAATGCCGGCAGTGTCTTCTTTGTGGTGGTAAGTCTTTCTATGTGTTGCTGGGCTCAGTGTTTGAACAAGACAACTAACATGAATAATTTACAGGTAATGTACGAGTGCCTCTACACCGGTATCGGTCAGATGATTGCCGCCTACGCTCCTAATGCGGTCTTCGCATCGCTCGTCAACCCGCTCGTCATCACGACCCTTGTCTCATTTTGTGGTGTCATGGTGCCATACAGCCAGATTGAACCGTTTTGGAAATATTGGTAAGCATTACTTGCCTTCGTCGGCCCCCGGAATTTTGATTCGTAGTTTCTAACCGCACTCACTACAGGATGTACTATATCGACCCTTTCAACTATCTCATGAGCTCCCTGCTTATTTTTACCACATGGTCCAAAACCGTCACCTGCACTCCTGATGAGATTGCTTTGTTTGACCCACCAGTCAACCAAACCTGTGGTGAATACCTTGCCACCTACCAGAAAGGCATGGGGGCGGGAACAAACCTCCTCAACCCGAGCGCAAATTCTGATTGCCGCGTTTGCCAGTACACCACCGGTGGAGACTACCTCAAGACTCTGAACCTCGCAGAGGAGTACTTTGGCTGGAGGAATGCCGGCCTCGTTGTTGTTTTCGTACTTGGTATCTACGGATTGGTGTTCTTGATGATGAATTTGAGGACGAAGGCTAGCAAGAAGGCCGAGAACTAGGTTGCCAGGATGCTACTGCAAGGAACTTCAAGTCAGCTACGATTTATCTCGCCTGTTGGCATTGGCCTATAGATGACAGTACCCTTCTCCTTGTCTGTACAGAGTGTAAGATCAAGGGTTTCTTGGAGTGGGCGCTGCTCTTGCGCGAGGCGGGGTGAAGTCGCTTCTGTTGGGTGTTGTTCTTCCCCTGGATACGTCATGCTAGAGAATCGTTCTTGATAGCCACCTGGTTGGCTTTTGGTCCCTAGATGTTGAATATACGCCATTGATAAGATGTTAAGAAATTGAAAGCGAGCTTTTAGGATAGGGAGGAGGGTGATGGAGAAAATGGGGGACGGTGGGCGAAATGTCTAATTTATACGTGTGGTGGATCATGTTATTGCAGGAACCCAGAGAACTATCACGGACCGATAAATACCGTGATCTGTGGTTATATTTTGTCAAAAAAGAATCGACCATGCGTAAAAGGACAGTAAATACCTAGGCGGTACATCTTGCGTGCTATTAACCTCATCAAGTAGTCGTATCTTCTGCAGATTGTGCTTCCATTTTTAACATAAATTTTTGAAATTTCCAAGCACATCATTGATGATTGTCATTTTAACCTTAATCCGATGTCCCCTCTAATGTTCCCCGAACGAGTTGCCATACTGTCTTTACTAAGATTATTATGATTTTAGGTACCATATATATCTTTAGGAACAAGTGCTGAATACCGCAGTCTCGGAAAGGCTCGTATCCACCATAGTAATCACCCTATGCTGTGAGATACTCAGTGAGCAGGACCCTAAGCAATAAGTACTTACTGCTACATACATATGTAGGTTATGTAGCACAAATCAGTCTGGCAATATCCAAGGCGGTAAACCCCTGGAAAATGCAGATCTTGCCATTATAAAAGTGCCAAGTATGGAGAATGTCTTAACCAAAATCCGGAGAATTATGCTTATTTAGCTAAAACTGGGGAGAGCTAAACAACGGGAGTCCAGGGCTAACAAATTTATATTTCATTTCCAATGATTTTGCCGTATAGACGGACATTGCCGACAGCTGAGAAGTGCTGACGAGGCCTCATGGCTTTTGCGGTCCACTTGAAGATCTTCATGGACTTGGCGGGAAGAAAGCACCACATTTTCTTCGTTTCACCCCCCTCGCTGCGTCAGATCATCCAATTATAACGGCCTTTGCTTGGCCCTTCCGCCCCTGCCATTTGTCCACGGGGCTTGGCGTCTCCTTCGATTCGCACATATCTTGCCTTGTCTAGACTCCCGGCGATGGTCCCCTTTCCTTTTCTCTTCTTCAATGACTTTCCTATACCACGCTCCTTGAAGAATGCTTTTTTTGCGCGTTTCATTGCTGTTATGGCTGTGCCAGACCGCGCTGGCGCAATATTCCAGCGATGATCTCATGTCATTCGTTACAGTCCGTGTCCCATATCCCACAAATTGTTTAATCCCGCTAACACTGTGTTCTCCAGCTCCCCGATATTCGGGCAGTGAAATTCAATGTCCAATACAAGAACCGCGAGCGCATTAGCCCCGGTTACTGGTTCGTCGCTCCTTACCTACACATTGGCCCCGATCCACCGTCGACTTTGTACGAGCAATATCAGATCGGTCCCCATATCTACGATGGTGAAGGAGTGCGTTCACACCGATTCCCCGCGATACAGACTCCGACAGCTGACCATATTTCGGTACAATAGCGCCTCATCTGGACTGGCTCGCAGCAGTTCGAGAACCGGAACGTCTTCGATTTCAAAGTCGTCAACAGCCTCGGCCCTGACCCACACCTTTCGATGGTCTTGCAAAACTCGTGGGATTCGAATGTAGACTCCGGGTATGGGCTGATCTTGACCAATAATTATCAAGTCCAACGAAAGCTTCCTTTGCCGGAGGACCTCGGCGTTTTTGACATCCACGAGTTCAAAATCCAGGACGACGGTAAGACTGCGCTGGTCACGGTCTACCTTTCTCATGAGATTACCCTAGAGGAATTCGGTCGTCCGAAAGAGACTACTTGGCTTGAGACCGGCGGGTATGCTGAGATCGATCTGAACACCGCCGAGGTTATCCAGTGGTGGGACTCTTTTGGTCGCATTCCTTTGCCCGAGACTGTCCATTACAACGCATATTCTCCAGTAGAGGCACACCCTGGCTGGGATTATGTGCATATCAACTCAGTTGACAAGAATGAAATTGGGGACTTCTTGATCTCATCACGGTTTACGAACACCATCTACCTCATCTCCTGCATAGATGGAAACATCATGTGGCGATTGGGTGGGATGTATAGCGATTTCGAGCAAGATTTCACCTTTTCGAAGCAGCACGACGCAAAATTCATTGAGTCGAATGGGACACACCATATTATCTCGTTCTTGAACAACGCCTCGGACGAGGAATTCAACGAGGAAAATATGTCATCATCCCTATTTGTCGAGCTGGATACCGGCGCGAGGCCCATGACCGCCAAAGCCATCCAGCGCTACAACCGGCCCGATCACCAGCTCTCGAGACTCCGCGGCAATACCCAGCTACTTCCGAATGACAATGTGTTCACCTGCTGGAGCAAAGAGGGCTATATTTCTGAACATGGTGCCGATGGAGAAGTATTGATGACCGCCAACTTCACCTCCTCGCGCTATTCATCCTACCGCGGGTACAAATTCGAATTCACCGGTCGCCCCGCCGCACCACCAGACATGGTCGCGTCTGTCTACGGCACCGATGAAACCAATATGGTGACCACGTTCTGGGTCAGCTGGAACGGCGCGACGGATGTTGCATGGTGGAACTTCTACGCGCAAGCCTCCGAATTCCACAACCCTGTCTTTATCGGCAAGACCCCCGATCCGATTTCGAAACCATGTACATTGCCCGCGGATATCTGGACTGGGTATCTGCCGAGGCAGTAGATGTCAATGGCACCGTCCTAGGCAGGTCCGAAATGCACCGAAGCAAGTCCCCCGACTGGAAGTCTGTCGGATACAGAGGGAAGTCAAGCCCGCCCATTCCGGTTGATCCATCAATCATGTACCAAGCAAGCGATAGCGCAGCAGGGGACAAGATGGTTGACGAGTCTGACCGCACGTCATCGGATGCAATCGATGCTCAAACACAGAAGACCACCCAAATCCTCAAGCATACATACGATGCTATCCGCAACATTAGCGGTATCTTCTCTTTTGTTTTGCTTCTTTGTCTATTTGTCGGCGTTATGGCTTGCTATATGGTTATCCGTGGTTGGCGTGTCCGCGTCTACCAGCGTCTTTGTACGGAAGATGGGGTTTCAGAAGAGCGGGCGCATCTCGCATCGCCGCATGAGGATTAAGGTTCTTTGGCCATGGTCAAAAGCATAGAACGCTGTTTGCATTATTTGTGGGAGTTTTGTACATTATTTTTCGGGTCTTTGGTGGACGCTAGTCCAATGTGTATATAGTACCGGTTACCGGTTTCATCGACTACCCGGCCATATCTTCGGCTTTCGCAATATACCGCGATTTGTTTACACTAGACCTCAACTGTGATTCAGTTCCGATATGTGGAAAGGCTTTGGAGTATGATCAGTGGCAAAGGAACCGAAAGAAATCACAACGCGTATGACGAGGTGCAGCCCATTAGGCTCATGCCCTCGCTTCACTTGCAGGTGGCGTTTTATCCGCACTTATAAAATCGGCATGAGGTCGGCTTCTCAGCGGCAGCCATGTACCTATGTATACCACCGATCCTTGCTACAAGTGGAAGTTGCTCGGCTCATCAATAGTAATACCCCAATCATAACCAACCGCCGGCGACCTCCGAGCATGAGTGCTGATCTGATTCGCCAAGTCTTTATACGGACTATCACACGCTAGTGTCTTCTATTAATCAATCCTTCTTCCCTTGCCTACTAATTCAATCCTAACATCTTCTTGCTTATAATTTTCGAATCTTTCTCATTATCCCTTTCGCTTCGCTATGGCCGACAGTGACATTCATGCAAGCATCAAAGCCCAACTAAGGCTATTTCCCCCTTTTGTCAGCATATAGAACCTGTTGCTCCATGGATGTTTCTTTAATATTCGAGAACCCACACCCGGGAGTGGACCCCACTGTTCATGATGAGTTAAGGTCTGGGCCTTGAAGGCATCAACCATGCAACCCTGCACGCGGTAGGCGTTGGGAAAGACTACATCTGACCGCGATAGCGGTGTACTCAGACTTGATGCAATCCTTTGGTGCAGGCAGCTCTAATATCGGTCACCGAAGCTGTTCTCAGGGTGATACAGACTCAAAGTATTGAATACCCCTCATGACAATACCCCTCGTGAGGGGTATTCCGTGAGGGGCATCCCAAGTGACCATTGTGTGTCTCTTTGATCGCCAACGATGCCAGAGTGTCCGTCCGGAGCTCGCGGCCCGGGTGTCGATCGGAGACACTGATCTAGATCCTGTGTTGCCTTAATTTAAAGGATGTCACTCCACATACCTCTGACATACCTCGATCGGGACCTATTTATACCAATTGGAGAGGCCGTGGTAAAGCGGTACTACCCCATGTTCCGGCCCACAAATTTACTTGATAATAACTGGAAATGCCCGCATGGGATTCCCGATACTGACAAATCTCGGGAATGTTGCCACATTTATTCCCGAGAAAATTATTCCCGAAGACTCTTTTCCATTATCTATCATGTAGGACTGGTCCAAATAATTCTTTTCATTTTCGTCACTTGTTTCTTTAAAGCTCAACCTTGGAACTCATATATTTGTTGTGTTCAACCAAATTCACAAATTAATACCGACCATGCCCTCAACAAGCTTATGCCAAGATGAGGCATGCCCTCCATACAGCCTTATGGATGATTACAGCGAAGGAGCTCACCCACAAATCCTTGAAGCTCTTTTGCGAACAAACTCCACGCAGCAGGTCACCTATGGAAATGATGAATACAGCATTTGTGCCCGGCAATTGATCCGAAACAAGATCGGTTGCACCGAGGACGAGGCGGATATCTTCTTCGTTCCCAGCGGAACCTCCGCAAACCTCATTTCAATCGCCAGCTGCCTAAGGCCTTATGAAGCTGTTGTTACTCTGGACTCGGGTCACATCGCCTGCAAAGAGGCAGGTGCGATCGAGGCAACCGGCCACAAACTTATCCTCGTGCCTGCAGTTGACGGCAAGATGACGCCCACCAATCTCCAAAAGGCGCTCCAGCAAAATCAATTTTACCCTCATATGGCCAAACCCCGGCTACTTTATATCTCTAATGCATCGGAGACTGGCACTGTCTACACAAAACGCGAGCTGAGCAGCCTCTCCGCTATTTGCAAACAATCAAATCTCCTCCTTTTCATGGACGGAGCGCGAATCGGCACAGCCATTTGCTCAAGGAAGAATGACCTCACCCTACGGGAGATCTTCGACATGACCAATATCTTCTGGATTGGTGGCACCAAAGCCGGTGCTCTAATGGGAGAAGCAATCGTTGTCAAGAAGGACTTGGCCGATGGTTTCGTTTTTCACCTCAAACAACATGGCGCTTTGCTGGCCAAGGGCCGTATTCTTGGAGTTCAGTTCATGGAGCTCTTCCGATCAGACTTGTTTTTCACACTGGCCACGCATGCCAATGAGATGGCCCAGAAGATCTCGACCAGCTTCGAGAAGCTGGGTTATAGGTTGGCTGCGGAGACAGAGACAAATCAGGTGTTTGTGATCCTTCCTCAACAATTGATTCGGAGCCTGCAGGACAGGTTCCGATTCTATGTTTGGGAGCAGCTTGATGATGGAAACTCTGTGATTCGGCTTGTCACGTCTTGGGCCACGGATGAGTTGGAAATTGATAAATTCAATGCGTGGGTGCAACAGTGGACAGGGGCGAACAATATTTGAAGTTATTCGCCGTCCATTGAACGTTGCCTACGGGGATCTGTTATACGTTTCGTTATCACCATAAAGGGACCCAATATTAATATAATTATAAGAAGAAATCAACATTCTTCAAAAATTCATATCAAAATTCTTCATAGATCCAAGTCAGCTGATCGCGCTAACCATATTCGGACACTAAGATATCCGCGTAACTCTTGCTTCCTCAGACGTGTGTCCAACTCTTCAATTAATCAACGTAAATGGCTGGATTGATGCAATTGCGCTCCTACATTGATCCGATGGCTTGAATTTGTCCTAATATGCCCCACGATACTTGACAGCCACTTCTTCTTTTCACCACGGCCCACTCCACTCTTCCCCGTATGTACACTCGATGAGGCTGTCAATATCATGTGATGCTTGTCGGTAAGCTTCCATCGGAACTCTTAAGCGTATAATCTTATCTGATCTGTTATGCAGGCAAGCAAAGGTCAAATGTGTGCATGAAGGGCAACCGCCCTGTCAACGTTGCCTGAAGACCAAGAACCAAGAATGTAGTTTGACAGATCCCCGCGCCTCGAAACAGAGGACACGGAGGAATACTGTCTCATCCAGGACCCCAAGAAAAAGAAAGGCATCATCCGCCCTATCGCCAGTGATTGGAGATGCAGAAAGAAACACCCCTGAGAATGTCCCTGTGGCTCAAGACCTATCCAAGGATCCCATAGCAGCGCTGTCACCGGCAACCGTCATCAGCGCAGTGGAAACCTACAGAAAAAAGTTCCCAATTACTAATTTTCTTCATTACCCCTCTTTAATATCCGACATATCATCCAACGTCCACTCGGTGGACTCCGTCTTTGTGGCCTCGGTCCTTTCCTTGTGCGTGCGGTTTATGAACAGCGATGAACTCGAAGAAGAAGAAATCTATGCCGACTACGCACGCAAAAACCTTGCCCAGCGCGTGCTTGAGGCCCCCTCTCTTTATCTTGCCCAGTCGCTCGTGATGATCTCATTTTATGAGTGGGGCACTGGGCGACCATATCAAGCTTGGATGTATAGTGGTATGCGTCGAATCCCCAACTGATCGTAGAGCACTAGCTGACAGGTATCAGGCATGGCGACATACATGATTCAATCCCTTCTGAAGATGGCAGATGATAGCATGGAACACAATCCTCAAGAGTTCCATGCATCCCAAACACAATACGAACAGCTGGTCCGAACGTACTGGTGCTGCTTTGCGCAAGACTGCGAGCTGAGCTCGGGAGCACGTCAGCACTTTGCACTATCATTCTCCCAGATCTCAGTTCCTCTCCCTATCAGTGATCGGGACTTCACATTCAATCATACGCCAGCCAGCAGGTTGATGCCTGCTGATATGAATAAAGAATGTTTGCTAGCGAAGGATCTTACGATTGAGCATGGCCTCACAATCGTCACTCGGGGATTTGACATATTCGTACGAATCCTAAGATTTGCGAACGAACATCGACGAGCACTGGCTTCTTTGTCTTCGAACGACTCGGCTATATCCCCGCTCCTCTTGACTTGGCAGGTCCTCAAGGAGGAACTGGATGAATGGAGGTTTCTTCAGGATGTAACAGTTCGGTACCCAGCTACTAGCGTTCAGTCGCACGTAGCACTCGGGTACGGGGAGTTGTTTGCGTACATCAATCTGGTTCATTGCATGAGGTATTTATTTTTATTTAACGCATTACAAACGGCGATATTAACTACATCTCCTTCAGCATCCTTTTTCTCCACCGGGACCGCTTCTTATCCAACCTGAAGCCCCATTCCGACGTTTTCCACGACACAAATGATGACGCGCAAGGCGAACCCGATACAATAAAACAGCTATTTGAAGCTGCTCAGCAGATTGGGGGTATCCTCAATGCACTAGATGCCTCAGGTGCACCCGTCATGTCACCATATTCCGGCTTCAGCGTCTTCGTCGCTGCTCATATCAACATGTACGGGACAATTGCCCCACAGCGATATCCAGGCGGTCTCAAACGGGCCGAAGAAGAAAAAAGCCGAAATCTTGACTACCTCGAGCGATTAAGTAAACTCTGGCCCGTTGGTCGCAGCTGGGTGAGTATATCCAAGACATCTCTAACCAAACATCCCAACTAACAGTAATCAGTGGCGAACGGTCCAAGAAGCAAATCGATTCTACGAGATAGTCAAGAGTAACCAAGCACACTCTGAGTCTGGAATGCACAGCCCCAGGAGATTCGCCCTCGCAGGTACCCTGGATGAATATGGTGACATCCGGTCTCGTCCGAGTAGAGACGCGTATGCGACTAGGGCACGAACCTCTGAATCCGGAGATACCCACAGCTCGCATGCCCGTGGGGGAACTTCGTCGTCGCCTGCTCTTGGTGGTGAGACCAACTTTCTTACCAGGGAGAATGCTGCGCTTGGTGGTCATCATGACTTTGAAACTGATATGTTTCAATGGCCATTTATTGATGGATCGTGGTCCCTTGGATTTGATGCGGGATTGGATGGGTTGTGGTATAACTCGGGGTTGTTTGACCCAAATCCATCTCTTAGATGATGATGGTCTTTTTTGGGGGGCGGATATGTTGCCAGAGCATTTCTCTACGAACTCCCAAAAAATATATACCCATTTCAATATGATGTCGTCGAGAGGGATTTTATTATGCTCAACCATGGACATACATCGCTACCATTTGTTGGCTTTTGGTATATCCAACCCCCCTGAGGGAATAGCAATGTAAGGATATCGTATCCACTAAGTATTTGAACGAATTCCAATTGAATTTCAAAAAATGGGCGCGATAGCTATACGAAGTTGTTATTTGGATATTGTACATAGACGGGGTTGTGCGTGTGTATACTTTGACAGAGATAGCTCATGAGGCCAAGATGGCCAAGTCCTCACATCAACCAGCCAAGTGGCCGAGCAGTAACTCGACCATCGCATCTTCCTTGGTCTAGTGGTGATGATTTCCGCTTGTCATTAATACCGATAAGCGCGGGAGACCGGGGTTCGATTCCCCGAGGGAGAGATTTCTTTTTTGCGTTTTAATTTTTTGCGATCTTTATTCACATGTTCGTTCTACAATGTTTCCATTTTACAACCAAGAACATACCAGTGAATAATCGTGGTCGGGGAGAAACAATATCTGAGGCTGAAGTTGACTGCATCGAAAGGCTGTCTAACTTCGGCCCTTAATAAATCCCTTCATTGTTTACTACATATTTACAATTATAGGATAGAAACCCACTCAGTGACAAATGATTTCATAGATAAATATCTAAACATTCAGGTTGAACGAAACTTTCCTTGCGATTCTCTCAAGACTGCCTAGCAATCTCATTACATTCGCACTGACACGGGTCCTTGTCAAGAGCCAATGTTATATGGACTAAGTCGTGCTTCATGCTCAAAAACACATTCTCAAACCTGTAATGACCAACAGCCTCATGGCACCAAAAGGCAGTATTGCGACGAATGATCTCGCTATCCGGAGCCCCAGCAACCATACGGAGTGCAATGGTTATGATCCGATCTGTTTGAATAGACAGCTTTACTACTGCCCGAGAGACATCCGTGTTGCGCTCCTTTCCTCGACCACCTGGATCGCACCGCAGAATCTTGGCCTGGGCATCTAAGTTGGCTATGAAGATGCGGCATTCGTGCAAGAGCTTGTCTTGCCAGGATAAGAATACCAAAGGCATGGATTTGGTGAGTACCGGGTGATAGATTTGAGTAGATGGGGGAGTTCGAGTATTTATATTGATATGCTTGATCGGTGCAGACGTCCTCGAACAAAGAAGAGAAGGGAGGTCGGGAAGGTCATTGTTTTATTTTTGATTGTTTGGGAAAATAAAGAGCATACACGCCAACAAAGACCAGATCTTGTCTGTCTTCCAAGGTTAGTTCAAGGTCGATAGGACAGAGACGATCAAATTACCTGGATATATACACGGAATTTGTAAGTGGTGTTGCACATACACGTACGACAGTATATGCATGTAAAGAAGGAAAAGAAGAAAGAGAGACAGAAAAGAAATTCATTAATTAATGAGTGGGTATATGATATTAGGAATTTGGCGAGAACACCTCCCGTTAGGATGTTTCCACGGTCTGTGATACAGCCACCGTCTTCCTGATGCCGTCCTGGTTGTAGATAGACTCGCCGCCAGACTCGCCAGCCTCCGGTGGACCGGCAAATGAAATCAGATGGCTCTGGTCACCAAAGTTGGTCACCTTGTCCCATTCAGTAGCAACATTGGAAGCCGGGGCCGATTTCCTATCACTCAACGGATGCGAAGAGCCACCGTTCTGGTAGTACTTCTGCGACGAGTAGTTCTTCTTGTAATGGGCCAACATGACGTTCAGGACAGGTAGACAGGCGCAGATCAATCCAACACCTCCCTCGGCATTACTACTAGACGTTAGAAAAAGAAAGAAAAAAGATCAAGAGGGGAAGGGGTTCATGACATACCCGGATAAGATGACACGGATGAACATAAGGCCCGCATCGCTTGAACCTTGTAACACCATGACCAATCGGTAAAGACTGAACCCGGTGGCCAGTCCACCAGCGCTAAGCAGGCCAATCACGCGAAGCTTTTTATTGCGCGACATTTGCAAAGACCATGTCAATGGTAATGGGAGAATAAGGATGATGAGGTCACTGACGACACTAATCACGGAGTCGGCGATGAGGGCAGCGGTCTGGTCCAGGCAGCTTCCTTCCACCTGGTCGCCGAGCCAGTATCTGGGGATGGGGGCACATATGCGAATCTTGACGATCAGAGCGACGGTGTAGTAGAAGCATAAGCAGCCAAGGAAGATATAGATGAACCAGACTTTGCCGCGGAAGGGAGCGAAGATGCGGGTGAGAATTGCTAGGAGGGCGATTTTGACGAAGAGCGCCATCGGACAGTAGAGAATGGTGGCAATGTAGCAGAACTTTTTGAATGCGATTTGCTCTTTAGCGTCGAGCTCGTTAAAGGGGTATCCTCCGCCATGTTCACCGACTAGTACAGGTAAGTATATAGTTGGTAAGATGTGGGAAGTATAGCACTTACTGACGATGGATATTGCACAATATCCCATAAACAGAAGCTGCGTAAAGTCAGTTTTGGCTAATAAAGCACCAATGTTATTTTGCTCAACGTACCCAGGCAATCGTACAGGCAACTAAGGAAGGTTAGCAAAATTCTGGAAAAATGTATGTATGCAAGGGACAAACTCACGATCTTCAACTCCTAGACCTTGCTTGAATCGTAACCGGGTATAGAATCGCAATATGACGAAAATAGTCACGATTGGAATACAGAGACATTGTGTGACGAGATTGATAGTATGCAAGACATCTGTTGGGTTCTCGACAGTCATGATGGGCTTGAAGTTCAAGTCCCCCCTTTACAATATTGCAAAGGACCGGGGAATTGACAAGATAAAGAACCTCCCATCGTGAAAATGAGGATAGACCAGCAGACGATCTTTAGCGGGGACTTGAAAGCTATCGAACCACTATGTATGTACTTTGTACGAGGTAATAGTGGCGCCGGATCCATGACGGCGATGATTGCTCAAGGGGCTACAATAGACTCCACCACCGGGATTTTATCGGTTTATGAATGGTTATTGGTGGTTTCCATGAATAACGCTAGACAACGCTAGACTCCGTTTATATCCACCAGTATGCACCCGCGTCGTGGGTGCCAATCAGTCGGGCAAATAGTATCGATTCTAGTGTCTCGTATTAGTCCGATCCAAAATTTGCACCGGTTCGCCACCAACACCGTTGTTTTACAAAACAGACAAATGGGCCTTAGTTGAACCCTATATTGACTAGCCGAGGCACTACGACAGCTTTGACAGCAACAATAATGCCTTTTAATTTATCTTTATTTAGTGATCGGCATTTGACCGAGAAAGGAGTTTTGTGCGTGTGTTTTCCTTTTCTTTTCTATAATTCCCTCGGTCTTCAATAATTCATTCCATAGTAAAACGACATAGAACCAAAAAAAGAAGAAAAAGAAGAAACATGACGATCCACTACTTGAACGGCAAAGACTCCGATCTCTTCAAACCCCTGGCTATCTCAAATGGCAATATTACCCTCGAACATCGTGTCGTCCATGCGCCTCTGACCCGCAACCGTGGAGAGCCATTGAATCCCACCAGCACCCCGGACCACCCCAATCGTATTTGGATACCTGGAGATGTGGTTGTGGAGTATTATTCCCAGCGTGCTACCAAAGGAGGCTTGATGATCTCGGAAGGGATTCCACCATCACTCGAGGTAAGCATTTTGAACCCAATTTGGTGGCACACGGTCCTCTTTGGGATAAAAGTATTGTGTGATTTCGGAACTGCACGCTTAATGACAATTATTCAAACTTTAATTTCATTTTTTTTTAACTTCGTTTCGACAGAGCAATGGCATGCCCGGAGTACCCGGCCTTTTCAACTCCGAACAAGCCGCGGGCTGGAAACGAGTCGTGAACGCCGTTCATGCAAAGGGAGGCATTATCTTCTGTCAGCTGTGGCACGCTGGCCGTGCTACGATCCCTCAGATGACCGGATCGCCCGCGGTCTGCCCCTCGGCCTCTGTGTGGGATTCTGCGACGGAATGTTACTCGCATCCGCCCGTTGGCTCCACCCAGCCCGTGCCCTACGCCAATCACCCGCCCATCGAAATGACAGTGGGACACATCAAGCAGACTATCGACGATTATTGCATTGCCGCTAAGACTGCTATGAATATTGGGTTCGATGGCGTCGAGATCCACAGCGGAAATGGTTATCTTCCGGAGCAGTTTTTGAGCTCCAATATCAACAAGCGTGAGGATGCTTACGGCGGTACGCCAGAGAAGCGCTGCCAGTTTGTGTTTGAATTGATGGGGCAGGTGGCCAAGACCATTGGTGAGCAGAATCTGGCTATTAGATTGTCGCCGTTTGGTATGTTCAATCAAGCGCGCGGAGAACAGCGTGTTGAGACTTGGACTCACCTGTGTGAGGGTCTGAAGAAGACTCTCCCGTCGCTGTCCTATGTCAGCTTTATTGAGCCGGTAGGTTTACGTTTGTCTCTATCTAATAGCACACTGCTAACCTACCCAGCGTTATGAACAAATCTTCGGCGCCGAAGAGAAGGATAAGTTCCTTGAGAGCTGGGGTCTGCTGGATGTGACCCTTGATCGTTTCCGCCAGATCTTTGGTTCCACCCCGTTCTTCTCTGCTGGTGGATGGGACGATCAAAACTCCTGGGGAGTAGTGGAATCTGGTAAATATGATGCTCTGTTGTATGGTCGGTACTTTACTAGCAACCCGGATCTCGTGCACAGACTGAAGGAAAAGCTCCCCATGGCTCCATATGACCGAACTCGGTTCTATGGACCATTTGAGGACAAGTCCTTCCATTATACCGATTACCCTACCGTGGACCAGAATTAGGTGATTCCATAGAGTGTATATAGCATTAGATATTACATAGGTAGATATATTAGATGCATCCATGGATGTCAAACTTGGATCTTTTTTAAGCATAAAAAAATCCTTGGAAATTTCGATTGTCACCTTGGAACGGTCGGAGTCCAGACCAAGGCCGACTTGCAAGTGATCCATGGTTCAAAGGCATCGGGAATTTCCGAAAACAACCATGGGATATCCATGACAGCCTTACAGTGTAGGTAGGACCCGGCAATATCGGCAATATTAGACCTCGGGGAACAATTTCCATCAGACTATTCTCTGGCATCACTCGTATCGGAGATTGAGATCGTCCGAAGCCCCGGTCCACCCCACCGAGGGGGTTACAAGAACCCGATGAGGAGTAGATAACAAAAGCAAAGATATCTCTAAATTGGTGTCAGCAGAGTCTCAGTCGCTGTCATATGTATTTCAAGATTGCTGCCGAGGTCAACCCAAATTATTACATAACGAGCTCCAGGCCTGGTCACTGAATTTGGCCAGATGCCCCCCCCGGGGACCGCGGAAAGATCATCCACTTCACCCGTGTGTCTTCTCGGAGAGCAATATTAGGTTGTATTCGTGCATGAAAATGGACGGCCAAGAAAGGAGACACGGGAAGGAAAGTTGATCATCTCGAGGTCCTATCGCATAGCTCCCCTTTTATTTACCTCCTTTTTACCATTAGCCGATGCCAAACCTGTGGTACAGCCGACGCCAGCCGTCGCCAAGGCTATGGTATGTGTCGCCTACACTTTGAATTTGTCGATCATATCTCTAGGGCTATCCTCATTTGTCACCGGTAAGCGAACTCGTGGGCCAGACGCATGTGAAAGTGCCGAAGGAATAAGCGCGCTGTCGGTCCGCCAGGGCGAGGGAGTGCTGACCACCTACTAGACTAAAAGGGGGTTGGTTAGTGGATTATAAAGTAGGCCAAGGGCAGATGTCAGGTTGACAGGATACCATAACAAGGTGATTAAAGTCTATGTCTGGGGGTAAAATGTGCCTGTGACGATGATTTACTTTCGCATTCAAAGTCACGCTTCTTGTTTTTATCTACATGGCACAGAAAATGAGATCATGACGTTAAATGACTTTCTCCATCTATTTAGGTCAATCGCAAATAACACTCATGGGCCACTCAATCCATTGGCGGAAGTCAATTCCTAGAGACTCCCGAATTCCTGCAATGACATGTCGATCCCAAGCAATCATAAGCCACGAGGATCTCATGAATTTCAAAAGAATACACCAATAAGCAAGAACAATCAATGAAAGGGGCTCCTTCTCCTCAAGAAGACTTATGAACTGCTCAGGCCGCCTATATATCCACCCAACTACAAAGGGCATCAGGCTAACACCATCCTTCCCAGCGCTTCGACTCTGGTATGCTTCCTCGAACATTCCGAGCAAGTCTTCAAGTGCACCGATGTAGATTTGACACGTAGAACTCCCGCCAGTTTTCGTTTCGATAAAACGTTGAAGTTCTTTAATATGAGACTGATGTTCTCCGAGCTCATCTTGTAACAAGGGGCTGACGCCCTGAATAACAGGATCGGTTTGAATCTGCAAGACCCCGGTAAAGATTTTGTCGCGGTTAGACATCAAGATCGATCTCACTCCTCTCATAAGAACCAGCCATTCGGCCTTCCCCTTCTCACTGAACACGAGGTATTCACCAGGTTTTGGACCATGTGCAAAATAGACGAAACATATTAGCACTGTCGACATGTATATTGACTGACAGTTCCCTGAATCAAGACTTGACAGAATAACGGACACAGATCGAATGCCAAATGTGAAGTGGTCATCTGCCTGTATCACATACTGGTCTCGTAGCTCGGGGTGGAGATGACCCAGATGTAAGGCTGCCAGCGCCAATATGAGGTGGAAGATGGACGGCGAGGAAAATCCCCATTGTGGAAGGTGAGTTTGCCAGACTCGATTGCGGTCGGTTGCTTCGTCCGTTAGGGTGCGGTATGTCTCTGTGACAAAGTGGTGGAAGAGTCGTAGGTCGGCGATTGAGAGGGTATCTTGACTCTGCGGTAGGGGGCTCGAGCTGCAGTTTTTGCATTGGATTTCTGAGGAGACTGTCTGCGAAGATGGCTGGCCTATTTCATCCTTGGGGTTGCATTCCCCAGATCCGTATTTAGAAGGCTTGAATCGAAATTGTGCCTTCAAAGGTCTGGATGGGGATGGTTCTGAAGAGGACGAAGCTGATGATACAGCTGCTGTCGAGAGGAAGTCACACTCGATAGCATGATGAATGCATTTGGAGCATGCTGGCTTCTTCTCGTCACACTATAGACTATTAGTGGGTTCTCATCCAAATCTTTCACTCTCTACCCAGTCTAGTCGCCCCCAAGACAGATCAATGACTGGAAAGTATTCATGATCCTGAAATAAATGCTTCTCTCCTTTATATCCATCTCTTTCTTGATTGTAGGAGGACTAGCTTGTGAAAGACGACAACCGGACTCGGGGACGGTTTGGAAACCACTCACTTTTATTCGCCGTCTTTTACAATTTCCACACCCTAAGCGAGACTTATGATGAGATTTTCGGGATCGGATCGCGCTCTGCGTATTTTCCATGATGATTAGGGCCTGTAGAGCGGTGGTCGTATTCGTTTTAATTTTGCTGTTTCGGGTTCCACGGCATGACGTAATGATTTAAAGATAGAACACACGTGACCGTGGAGTATAGGTAGGTATACCAAAAATGAAGATGTAAAAAGTGGGCGTAAAGAGCTGAATATCGGGGCAAATGGAAAAGGGAAAATACTTGTCAACCAGGAAAACTGGTTCAAGTGCTCCTCCAATTGCCCCTAAACCCAAAGCTGAATGTTCTCCTTATATGTCTGCCTAATAAAAGATCCTCACGTTCAGGCTAAAGTAGAAAATCACCATGGTACACATAATGGGTATGATATCACCTTCTTTGACATTCAGAAAACTTTAACTGGCCTCTAGGCAAACAAGCAAAAGTCGATTCATAAAGTGATATATCCCGCCCAAATGCAAGCAGAAAGTAAGCATTAGACGAGCTGGGAAACAGAGATTCGCATGCTCTGTATAGGTGTATCAGTTCCTTAGCTTTCCTACTAGGCTCCAGCCATAATATTCCATATAATTTTCTGGAAAGTGATAGACTAAAGGATATGGGACTGCTGGAAGCTGGGAGGAGTGCACAAAACCGAGCACCAATCAGCCAAAGGAAAGGAAAATATAAGATTAGCAAGAGAGAAGTTTGTTCAACTAGGACCAACTCTCCTTTATCTTACCATCTCAGCATTACTATAGGCTATGAAGCTACTTTTTGCACTGATTGAATCACTTTCCCTCGACGAGTTGAGGAACAAATGCCAAATGCTTTAAAAAAACTGATCTCTTTGTTATGCTACTATTTGATGACAATAATGTGGAGGGTCTATGATCATAGGGGTATGTGCTTTTGAAGTTCGCAATTTACTCTTACACGCTATGTATGACGATGGTATGAAGTGCACTTTCTTCCGTGCTGCGGGTCTCACACCGTCAGATGGCGTGACAAAAATGCCTTTTATATATAGAGACAACTCTCTTTGTCCATACAGCTAGATAAAAAAAAAGTAGAACAGACATAGCCTTGTTTTCGCTGTAGCAAATTTGATCAAAGACCAGGTCACCAAGACCAGCATGAAAGAAGCACCCCCATTTGATTCGCCCGATTTCACCCATAGTAAGTCCCCATCTCAAGCGGGTCAGGAAACTCCCCTGGCCACCTTTTCTGGATTCCATCATTCACCAGTGAGACCTCGTCCTGGTCGGCGAATATGCCATGCTGGTTGAAGAGATCGATTTGATCATAAACCCATGTTCGGCCATTCCAACCGTCATTGTCAATCTCATATTTGTGACGGTTATTCGCAACGATCATCTGGTGGATATCACCCACTGTGAATCCCGGGTTCACGGTCAGAACAAAGGTCAATTGCCCATTGGGTGGGACCAAGGTCGATCTCTTTTGAAACACAATGTTGGCTTTGGAGCCATTTTCAAGAACGGTGGGTGCGCGTTCGTAGGTTGGTTGACAATGAAGCCTTACCGCCGTCAGGTTTTCTTCAGATGTGGAAAGAAAAAAGGTCCAGCTGTTTGGAAGATTGAACTCGCGGGGTGCCAGACATATGGCTCGGATGCATTCGACTGGCTGGTGCAGGATTTCGAACCGCTCTCCCCGAGGTTTGAACTGGATTGGGTCCCATTCGGGGCTGAGAAGGTTGTCTGGTTCTGTTAGATCTTTTTGTTGGCACGTAGGTGATGAGTTGACATACTGCAGTAATAATCAGTGATTAGCATGTTGGGTATTGAGTATGAGGATAGAGAGAGACGAAGAGAAGAGAATGCTGGATGCCTCAGCCATGGCAGAGGTACCCGGAGAGAAGGTAAGAGATCAACCCATCAAAACTACTATAAGAATGGAAGGAGATAATCTTCAATATTTTGGGCTTCTGTTTGCTACTTGGCGTTCTCTTTTGTCTACTTAGGCTCTCTTGCTATGAGCCCTGTGTAGTTCCATTTTCAACATATTTTCTCCGTTATCATTTCCATGTTATAGTCAATTTAATAATGCCCTTCCTTTTTGACACACCCTTTTACGCCTCTCTTAAAGCACTGGTTAAAATGCTTTCATCTCTCTATATTAATGGCCTTAATGAGCATCCCGCAACTCGTTTTTCCAAGGTTATCCCTTTCTATTATTAAACTTCTTATCCTTCAGCCAATATTACTCACAACAGCTGCAATACTCCGTACACGCACACACACACACACACACACCCCAACTAGGGTGGCCATTTCGTGGAGGCGCTTTTCGTCATGTTAGCTGTTGAGATAGTCCTCAGCTCCCAGCTTTAGCAACAATCCATTCTTCTTTACAGAGTAAAAAGTACTTAATTGTGTACTTTTGACCTCTCTTGGCGATGCTATTTTTTCTTTTTTCAATAACCCATTTTTTTTGGCTTTTTTATGGAACATTTGGTGATTATTCCAGAACTCACGAAGATATCACTTGATTTATCGAAAAACAACTTTGGAAGCCGATATGCACTTCTCCCTATAGAGTACTTGGCTAAAATACGGTCCTACTACTGGGCTGCGTGTCGTCAAGGCTACTTGGATATTGTATCTGTACCCAATATTGCCACCGTAGATGCATCGAGCTTAGCTAGTGAACAATCACCACCTAGTACCATAATCTGCGGCTGACTCGGTGACCTGCCGACTTCCTAATTCAGCTATAGAAGCGATCCATAAACCTTAATCTCACACACTCCCTAGGGCATCCGATTACTGAAATCTTCATTCCCCAAAAGACCACGGGTTTTAAGTTGGAACCCACTTCATCTTGTTTCCCCATAATGTCACGTTGGGATCTCGCTACCTGTAAAGAAACCTTGGAAGCTTTTCCCTTGTCTTCCCTGTGAGTTCCCGTGTCTCGCCGTGGAGTTGGGAACATCCTGAACACGTTGAATAGACTATGTAGACTTAGACATGTAAACAAAGAAAAATGCACATATTCTCTGTTATTCTTACCTTCAGGAAGCACGTGTTGCCCTGCAGAAGACGAGACAAGGCGAGACACGTTATCATATATGACCTGTCTCCCTAGTCCTTCTCAGCCCTGGAGATCTTCTTCTTCCTTTTTTTCCCCTGCAACCTACTTTCATATTACCTGCAATGGATCTCATTCCAAGTGCCTTTGTGGCACGTCCGTTGAAGATTGTGGTTATTGGCGCCGGGTATGTGCATACTGAACTCGAGCGACAACCACTTCTAACATATTTTTCTAGTATTTCAGGAATCCAATTCGCACATGATGCGACCACATCATTATTAGGTGTCGATCTCGAAATCTACGACAGAAATCCTTCCCTTGGAGGTACATGGTATGAAAATCGGTATCCCGGGTATGTACGACGGTATTCCTGCGAGCTTCGAGCTTTGTTATCAGATGAATAGGTTCACTAATATTAAGTGATAGATGCACATGCGATGTGCCTTCCCACACCTACCAGTTCAATTGGGCACCCAATCCCTCATGGTCATCGCTTTATCCCCCAGCTCCCGAGATTCACAAATACTTGGAGGATGTGGCCGACAGGCACAATCTCCGCCGCTTTATGACCTTCAACACCAAATGCATCTTGGCGCAATGGAACGAAGACTCCTCAAAATGGAAAGTTGTTCTCTGCGACGTGGTTTCTGGCGAAGAAAAGACCATCTTTGCTGATGTCTTCGTCTACGCTGTCGGGCGGTTGAACAACTACAAGTTCCCCAAGATTGCGGGCCAGAAAAGCTTCCGAGGAGCCCAAGTACATACTGCAAACTGGCCAGCTGATATGACTGTCAAAGACAAGCGAGTGATTGTGATCGGGAATGGTGCAAGCGCCATTCAGTGCGTGGCAGCTTTGCAGCCAGGTGAGTCACAAAGTCACTTCGAAGACACGCCACGCTAACTGGGCTGGTCTCTCAAGTCGCTTCGCAAATAATCAACATCGCGCGAGGCCCAACGTGGATTCTCCCACATGCATCGGCTGAAGATGGTACTGTCCAGCGCGAATGTGAGTTTCTCGCCTTACCATAAAAACAAACGGGTTAACGACAGACGTGCTGATCTGTAGCCAGACTCAACCGAACAGAAGCAAGCTCTCCAGACATGCCCTATGCGCTATTATGACTTTTGCATCTCATTAGAGCGGAGACTTGCCGCAAGTTTCACGGGACTCTGGAGAGGGACCAAATCTCAAGCCAATTTTACATCATTGGCACATTCATTCATGAAGTCCAAGATCACAAGCCCTGAGCTTTTGGACGCACTCCTACCAGAATTCGAAGCTGGATGTCGTCGCTTCACTCCCGGTGGTCACTATCTAGATGCGTTGCAGAAGCCCAACGCCATGTATGTGCATGATTCGATCAAAAAGCTGACCGAGGGTAGCCTTATCACTGAATCCGGAGGGGAGTACAAGTGTGACATATTGGTATATGCCACTGGATTCGAGCCATATCAGCCACGATTCCCAGTCACTGGCCGCGCTGGACGATCGCTGAGTGAAGACTGGGATCGCGAGGGACCATGCGAGAGTTATATGGCTGCGATGGTTGCTGAGTTCCCTAACTTTTTCGGTAAGAACCTGAATGACCCTTTGTTGGTTATTGTGCTTAACCGGTGTATCTTGGACAGTCTTCAATCCCCCAATCTGCCCTGTGAATGGATCCGCCATCCCCGGGATCGAGAGAGCAAGCAACTATATGATTCGAATCCTATCCCGACTCCAAACAGACAGATTGCGATCCGTGTCTGTGAGCCAGCGGGCTCAGCGTGCATTTAACCAATGGGTTCAGTCGAGAATGCCTCACATGGTCTGGTCGGGACCATGCAAATCATGGTGTAGGTAGATCCCTACCTCTTTTCTTGTTCCTAGCTTAGCGCATTGACTCATTCTTGGTGGTACAGACAAGAACGACAATGGAAAGGTAGTTGTTCCCTGGCCCGGTACTGTCCTCCACTACTATGCGGCAACCGAAATTGTGCGCTGGGAAGACTTCGATCTAGTCTACGAGAACCCCGATGAGAAATATGCAAGTTTCGGCAATGGTGTGACAATTGATGGATTCGTGCCCAATCATTTCCCCTGGGTTCATCCCCCCACCAATTTCCAAAAGCCAGAACGGAATGCGCAGCCAGCTTCTCAAGTCCTTGCACCACCAAGCAACGTGTTGTATCGTGTGACAAGCCAAGTCTTACAGTTGCTGGGCGCATGGTCGTATCTTGGTGAACCACCAGTCAAGAGTTGAGGAATGTTACTATGCATATCTATCTTCCAATGCTGTGAGGATCCAATTTGTTTTCGTGTTAAGCGATCTATGATGTACCTTTATTGTAGATGTCAGTTCAACAGCTAATACAACCCGAGATCGTACTACGTTTCTGAGTTATTATAAGTTACACTGGATGTAATTGTATAACATAGATGCATATATTGACTCTATCGCGCAGATCTCGACATCCGATGTTCTGGACCGATCAACGTCAAGGTGGATATTCCGGTAATTCATCGGCTATATGCGCGTACGCTTGTGGTTCTCGGCAGATTCACCTGGATTATTAATGAGCTCTTTCGACTCTTCTGACTCATTTGGTCTTCAAGAATTTCAAGAATCTCGCATCTTCTTTCCTTCTTCCACTAATATTCATAATTAATTGTGTTGATACACTTGGTGAGTTCCGTCCAGTGCCCCAAAACTTGTCCTGGGGATTTGACGTCATATTCAATGTGAATCAACAAGATCAATACATAAATTATTGTGACTAATACTTTTATCATTGTTAGAGCTCACATAAATAAGCACGCAAATTTCACAATGGCCGACAATAAGATGGAATATGTCCGGTACAGAACCCCCGCGGCACACTTTCCACTCGAATAAGATGCTAATACGAAATAAATAACAGCCTTGGAAACTCAGGTCTAAAAATCTCCAAGATCATCCTTGGGACAATGGGCTATGGCAGCAAGCAATGGCAAGACTGGGTCCTGGACGAGGAAGACTCACTGCCTCTGATTGAACATGCCTATAAGCAAGGCATCAATACCTGGGACACGGTAAATGAAGACATCGCAATATATTCGAGAAAATCACCGAATAAGATACTAATATTCAACGTATAGGCGGACGTCTACTCCCACGGCAAATCCGAGGAAGTCGTCGGAAAAGCCCTGAAGAAGTACAACATCCCTCGCAACCGCGTGGTAATTCTAACCAAGTGTTTCTTCGGCGTCGACGACGAGGGAAATTTCCCACCAATCGCCGCATCTGCCACAAACGACGGCCCATTTGTCAACCGCACCGGCTTGTCCCGCAAGCATATCTTCGATGCTGTCGATGCCAGCGTGGAACGTCTGGGTACATACATCGATGTGCTGCAGCTCCACCGTCTAGACCGGGATACTCCGCGCGAGGAGATCATGAAGGCGCTAAACGATGTCGTCGAGAGTGGGAAGGTTCGGTACATTGGTGCTAGTTCGGTATGTCCATCATGCCTTCCACTCTGATTCCCCTTTCTTTTCTTTTCTTTCCTCCCTAACATCCACGATCTCCACACTAACCCACAACCAGATGGCGGCGTGGGAATTCCAATCCCTACAAAACATCGCCGAGCGCAACGGCTGGCACAAATTCATCTGCATGCAAAACTTCCACAACCTCCTCTTCCGCGAAGAAGAGCGCGAGATGATCCCCTACTGCCAAGACGCCGGCGTCGGCATTATCCCGTGGTCACCGATTGCGCGTGGCGCGCTGGCACGGCCCTGGGGCTCTCGCGAGACGGTGCGTGAGAATACCGACGGCGCGCTGAAGATGTTTGTCCGTAGTCGCGAGTCCGAGGCTGATAAGGCTATTATTGACCGGGTTGAGGAACTCGCTAATAAGAAGGGCGTGAGCATGGCTCAGATTGCTATCGCTTGGTCTTTGACTCACCCGGGCGAGAACCCCATTCTTGGTCTGCATAGTGTTAAGAGGATTGATGAGGCTGTTGCTGCTATTAAGGTCCAGCTGTCTCCCGAGGAGATTAAGTATCTGGAGGAGCCGTATGTTCCTAAGGCTGTTACTGCGCTTGAGCGGTAAGGATTTGAGAGGGACCTCGGGATATCTACGAAGCTTTATAAAGGCTGTGAATACATGAATACCATGCAAATTGAACTTTGAATTCTGTCTTTTACGTCAAACAAGGGCGCCACATCCCCACCATATTTGAAGGCATCTTGATATTTTTACAATAACAGCCCTGAGCTCTCGATGGTGAATAGTACCTAGGTATATAGCAGTTCACGAGGCACTAGACAAAGGTCTTTTCTACAACATGGGGAGTATGTTAGGAGGAGGAGATATATTTACTCCTCACACCGTATATGTATACGTCTGATCCAGCCCTGAGGATCTTCTCTATCATATGTACTTTGCTTATTCCGGAAGTATTCTCCCCTTCTGAACCGCAGCCACGCATTCTCGACAAATCACCCTCCACGGCGTACGAAGTTCACAGCTCATAATCCCGCCACCACCTTGGCAAACGCTGGCTGATCTTCATCACATTCGCGGATAAGGGCGATACACATCGCGATTATCTCGCACGCTATTACCTTAGCAGCAGGGTAATTCGATCGAAATCGCAGGCATGGGTGTATATAGCACCCATCACAGGATGATCCCTCCTCGATCTCTGGTTTTATTCGGCGATAGGATAGGTTGGCCAGCAACTAATTGACATGGCCTGCTACAAATTCTAAGTGGGCAAAATATACATTTATGGTGGCTTCATGCTCGTCTCCCTTTGAGGGTTATGGATTGTGGGTGTGGATATTGGATATAGTGAGATATTTTGAATATATACAAAGTACTTGGGAGGCTTGACAGAATCGAAAAGCTTGTGTAATTGACTGTGGAAGATAGGGTATTTTATTCATTTGTAGCGTGATGGATAGATGGATAGCAATGTACACGAGTGAGATACAAGCATACACATTTTGAGTTTAAGCCGCTAGGACATGAAGATGAAGATATGGTGACAGAAAGTGGGTGTGAAAAGAGAATATTGGAAGAATGCACAAATGCGAAGGATGCAATATGCTAGTTGGAATGTATGTGAGAGAGAGAGGAGAGTAGAAGAAAAAGAACATCGGCAAGGATTCGTACCGGACGAATCGCGCTGCAACGTATGAACGCCCAATTGATGCCAGATGCAATGAGACTCGAACTTGATGATGTGATGATGCCTACATGTGGTCTAGCCACAAACATGATGCAGGGGTATACATGGCGATGAGGAATTGAAATGTCAATGAGTATCGTGTTTTCGGTGAAAGATGCCAAAGAAAGTACTGAGGCGGCGGCGAACTTTGCCCTTGTCGGGCGTTGAGTCGACGGCTTCGGGGAGTGGGGGATCGGGCTTCTTTTTGCGGGTGCTGTTATGCTGTGTGATGCGGTAATTTGAGGAAGTAGGATCTCGATCTGGCCCCGGTTTTGATTTGACGTTTTCTCTTTCCGGCTGGGCTTTCGCAGGAGATTTCGCTTTAGGATGGCCAGCTCGGGATGAATCTTCTACCTCAGCGGACTGTTGGCGAGGAGAAGGAGAAGGAGGACGGGAGACAACGATATCGCGGCCGTTCTCGCCCAAGGTAGTGAACATGCTGTGTCGGTTCAGGCGAGTGCTAAGCCCAGAAGCGGATCGTCGTTTCGCTCGATCCATGAATGCAAGACCGGTGGAATTAGAGCGCTTGGACAAACCACCGAATTGCGTTCCATCCGCGGTGGTTGGGGTGGTGGAACGGCGAACATTTGACATCGACAGGCAGCGTTTGCCATCTTCATCGATATTCGGGAAAGAGTCGGTTTCATTCTTGGCGGTCGTCGGAGATGCATGTTTCACGGATGTCGGAGACGTGGTCGACTTTGTACCAGATGAAGACACCGGGTCGCCGTAGCGGAAGTTGTCTGACCACCCCTCACGGAAGGCGACCCAGACGCCGGTGACGATGATCAAAGTTCGCAGTCCATCATCAAGAGTGACCGAGTTTCCATCGTAGGGAGTCTCTGCATCCGAGGCATCACTCACCACCGACATTCCTGAGCTTGGAGTCGTGGGACCGGTGCCGGACCGAACGGCCGGGGAATATTCATCATTGACTTCTAATTGATTTCGAGTCATAGACGCGAGAACGGGATGCCGGCGAGTGGTAGGATCGATGACGCTGAAAGTGAACCGTTTGCTGTCGTCGCGGGATTGTGTCGCTGTGGGCGTACTCATCCGGCGACTCCTCCCACCACGCAAAGCCCACCGCACGATTTGCACGCCGCTATCTGTCTGAGCAACAAACTCATAAGACCCGCTTGGGAGAGGCGATGCCTCCCACACAGGCCCGAAGTTCAGGCATATCTCCGCCTTTCCTTTCAGTCGAGCATCTTCTTGATACTTTTGGCAGATCGTGGCGACCACCTCGCGATGATCTTCGTCTTCATCCTCCGAGCTGACGCGTTTTTCAGGAATGCTGCCCACCGTCCGGTCGTATTGTTCGCTTAACACCACAATGAGGTCATACGGACCCAATCCGTTTCTGGTACGATAGATGGCCGGGAACTTGCGGGCCAATAGTGGCAGGTAAGAAGTCGATGGGAGAATATCTACAACCGGTAACGGTCGAGGGGTTTGCGACACCTGTTGCAGCTGCAGGAGGAGCTTAGGGCGAAATCTAAACCGCTTATGACGACCATGAGCGGCGGGATGGGCGAACTGATATGATGTCTTGGGTCGAAACTTCCGACCTGTGGTTGAACGGGCGACCCGGGGCCTGGCGACAACAGCAGTCGATTCTTGGGAAGGCTCACCCGAGTCCGAGGCCGACACAATCGACTCAATCGGACTCATCACCATAGCGGATACAAGCCCCCGACAATCAACAGAACCATCAGCGAGCCTGGGAGGACTGTAGAAGGAGTTCAACAATGGTAGAGCAGACAGTAAGAAGGTAGGCGAGTAGGTAGTACACGTAGAAGGCCGGGGCTCTGGTTGGTGACTTGTTTCATCTGCATGGGCTGCTGCGGCATCCGCTGTGAGGCCAAGATTCAACAGCATTCTTGAGCCCTAGCGGAGCCACATTGGTGTTAGGAGAGCCAAAATCTTTGTGGAATTTCACCCAGACCGAATGTACTAGTCATCAATGGCCCGTATTCAAACGCGTCAGCTGCGGGGGGATGTTCAGCCCCAGAGCTATGTGTGGGGAAGGTCTAATCACGGTTGCAGGGGCAAAATGGACAAAGATGCAAGTCAAGATTGTAAAGACTTGCTAAATGTGTAAGAGAAAGTATATGCAAGGGGGATTTGAAAAGGTTTTAAAAGAGTGGAAGGGATGTTTTACTGCAGGAGCAATAAAGGACCTTAATATGAATGAGGCGGTCAGCCTTATAGAGCTATGTAAGAAAAAAAAAGACGAAAAATAAGTAATCAAAAAAGTTGAAGTGGAACCCATCCAGTTGCACAAATTGACCCTCAATGTGTATTTTAATATGTTTAATACATATTATGTACTATGTATTAGTAGTAACTAACCGTAGTAATAGTATGTTTTAATGCACAAACCTTCAAAGGTAAAAGACCCGGTTTATGCCTGTCAGCGGGTTCGGTCATATACGGCCTCCGACACATCCGGGATTCCGTGACGATCATCTTCCAAGGTTCATACCTAGGTAGTTGTTTTTTGTTCTAAGATCGGACAGGGATTTTAGCTTGCCTTCTTGGCACGGCCCATCCTATCGGAAAACGGGCAGATTTGTCCGAGGTTGGTTACCTGACTTTGTATGAGCCCATATACCGGTAGTATCCATATATTCTAGGCATAGTGGGACTATTGTCACGTTCAAAAACCGAATTTTCTTTTGGATAACCCGAGGGATTTTATATCTACATTCTCCACTACGGAGTACTCAGTTTTAACTTGGGAATCGGACAAATTGATGTGCCGCAAAGTTTGATGAACTAGCGCTTATGCTCATCTTGGGAAGAGCTCACTTGACCAAAGTTGTGGGAATAATGAAAATCCTTGGCAAGTTGCTATACGAGATACGGAGTACTCCGTAGAATCTGTTGATCTTCGCAGACTTTTTCTGTTTCACGAAATATGTGAAATGTCCGATGACATGTTAAATTCCCTTAGAATCGCCACTCCAATAAAGTACATATGCACTCCGTACTAGTTCCGTGCATGCAGTGATATCTTTTAGTGTTGATCAACGGGAGTCTCCAGAACCCGTGTGGATCAGATGACTAATTATGCATATTTATGCTGACCCTTTTTCAAGTTTCACCTCTGTCCTTCCTTCAGGTAAGTTACGTTACCTCGGCAGACCGGCGGACCGTAAACCGAGACAATCGTGAGGTAAGCATCCCGACATCTAGACTCCCGACAACCCGATTCCACTAGGAATCCCCATTGGGAAAACTTCCGAGGATTTATTCAAGGTCACTCCCTTTTGTGGTTTAGTGGCTGAAGTCACTGGAAACCCGTCATGGCATCAGTTCAACCCACCACAAGGCCACCGCCATTGTTTGCCAAACTACTACGATTGGACAACCCAATTCGAAGTTTGACACTCGCCTTTTGGTCATGGAAGGTCCTGTTGTACATCGTTGTTGCTGCCTGTCCAGGGTCGGGCTATGATACCTCCACCTCCTTGATTTCATATGCTGCCGACCCATCAACGGCTGCCCAGTCCCAGTCTCTCTCAGGGCCTCTCAAATTTGCCAGATGGGACAGTATCTACTTCCTGCATACTGCTGAAAATGGATATCTGTTTGAGCAAGAATGGGCCTTTGGCTGGGGCTACACTAAGATTCTATCTATATTTGTTTCTGGTATATAATTCCCTCTATAACTCTGCCCATGTCGGGGCATCTCATTCTAACACTAATACCGTGAATAGGTATTCGTCTCTCTGGCGCAGATGCTGGACCCGCTAGCACCGCAATGGTAGGAGTGGTTCTCTCCCACGTTGCCCATTATTTGTCCGTATTGGCGCTCTATCGTCTGTCAGCCAACATCTTTGGTCATGCGACTGCCACCCAACATCTCATCTGCTTCCTATCTGCAGCTCTTCACATCATTTCGCCAGCGGGCGCTTTTCTGTCCGCACCCTATGGAGAGTCGATAGTCTCTTTTTTCAGCATCACTGGATTTTACCTCTACTCATCGTCTCTCATTGCCGAGCGCAATGGGGCAACGCGTCTGCGAGATATTCGGGTTCTCACATCCGCGGTACTGTTCGCGGCTGCCACCATGGTCCGCAGTAATGGGATTCTCAGCGGGTTCCTATTTGCCTATGATGCCGCAGTTTTGGCTTGGAAGACCTTAACTAAAGGTCCTACACTGCACACCACTGTTCGTCTTGCAGTGATCATTGTTGGCGGCTGTATTGTAGGATCTGGGATGGTCATTCCTCAAATCCTGGCCTATCGCATGTACTGCATGTCCGAGGGCGATCTTCGGCCATGGTGTGAGTGGCCTTTGCCTAGCATCTACGGCTGGGTTCAAAATCGTTACTGGTAAGCAATGATTCATGTCCGAATACCACTGTTCCTCGCTCTTACTGACTGCAATAGGGATGTTGGGTTCTTGAGGTATTGGACCGTCTCCAATATACCTCTTTTTCTGTTGGCGGCGCCCATGTTGGCCATCCTATGCCGATCCACCTTGTGGGCATTACAGAGTCCCTCTTCATCCTCAACCAGCCCGGGGTCAATGCTCGTTCGGCTGGCGGTTCCCCAGGGTTTGCTGGCTGTCATGGCATTCACCAGCTACCATGTGCAGATCATCAACCGCATCTCGTCGGGGTATCCCTTGTGGTACTGGTATTTGGTTACCAGCGCTGTAGATCTCAGTTCAAGCTCACCCAAGCAAAGCCGGACCCTTGTGGCCGCTGTGTATAGCATGGTGGCCTACGCGTTGATCCAGGGTGTTCTTTTCGGTTCTTTCCTGCCCCCAGCATGAAAGAGAATGACGAATAGTGATGACCCGGCTCGATATTGGCCCGAGTCACCTGTTGTGTATATTGAAATTGTGATTTTAAGTTATAAGACATGGCCTAGACTGCTGTGAATGGCCAAAAATGTGGCTATCCCGAATTGATGGTTGGGCGATCTGCTTGCGTAAGGTGGCTGTCTGCCTAAGTTGGGGTAAAAGGCGCAGTCGCCCACCTGGGCACTAACTGAATTATAAATTGGAAAAGAAGAGAGGGGAAAGAAACAGAATCTCACATATTTTTCTCCAAGGACTATCAAAAACAAATCCTACTATATCTCTAGTGTGCATCTCTCTCCACGCGGCTCACCCTGCAGGGCCCAAGCTTCGTTACGTATAATTATGTCATCACAACCTCAACTCTCTCCCCTTTGACCTCATGACCCTTAACATCTAGGCATTTCAAGAAGAAAAGAAGAAACGGAGGCCGAACTTCTGAACTGCTCAATCACCAAAACAAATACGAGCCCGTCATATTCCCCCTCGTTTGCCGAAAAAAAAAGTACCTCATGCGAACACAGCCGTGTGAAATACAATCTCCGGTTCCAAATTCCGCGCATTTCGCAGTGGGAGCTACAGAGTTTCATTAAAAGTACGATTTCCTTCGAATCTTGTTCTGTGATTGATACTGTGCGGAAAAGAAGATACCCTCGTGAAATATCGACCTTGCTGACGTATTGCTGCCAGAGCTCACCGGCAACGGCTACTCCTCCCTCACCTCATCTCCACCTCGTGCCAACATTTCCTTCCCTACCTCTCATCCGACGATGGAAGCCTCCGGCCCCAAGGCGATTCTCACATCCCACAATTTCAATCATGTACAAGAGCTCTCCCGGGCGACCTCACCCGGTGGTGAGCCCGTCGCCGTGAATAGCGAAGGTGAACCGATAGCCCGCGTGCGGCCCCGTACCTATCCATACTTCAAATATCTCCCATACCAGCTCGAGGATGAGACCGAGCGGAATCAAAATCTGCGAGAGATTTTGAACCAGCTCTATATTGCAGTGGAGGCCGGCGACTTCAATCCGGGAGCCGTGCACTGGACACGCGAGCTACGCGGATGGCTGTCCCTCAAGTTCGATCCGACCCGGGCGCAGCGCATCAGCCTTGTAAAATTGTATTTTGAGCTTGCACTTGCTCCTGGAATTGACCCGTCGGTCGCCGAGCGATTTTCGAGCATGTTCATGCTTCTCACCAAGTGAGTTGGGTTATCAGCGTTGGTTACGGGGGTAGTGTGGCTGCTAACTCAGAATCTTAGGCGCAAGCATTATCTAAAACCAGTTACAGATCTCGTGCTAGATTGGAAGCCTCTATACAAGGAGCTCAAGGCTTTTGTCCTCCCCACCGAGTCCGGCCTTGTTCACTCGACCAACCTGAAGCGGAATGTTAAGACGCTGACCAAGCTTTGCGCATTCGCTCAATTATTCATTGACCCGTGTGAGCTTCCCGCTATGCTCGAAGAGTTCTTGCCTCATTATACCACATCATTCTCAGAAGGTGCCTTCGTTGTCGCCGGGCTCATTAATTTGCTGCTTCCGACATCCCCGCCTCCCGACTCACGAGCCGATCTCTTACCGCAGAGCCATCTGCCTACACATTTCCATTTGTGGTCATTGGTCGGTCGTTCAAAAACATTTGACACAACATATCTGGACTATCTTTCCAGATTGGCCCGAGATTCTCTGCCGGCCGCTCACATTCCATTCTCCGAGCATGGTATCTTCACAAAGGAACAGTCTGCTCTCATTTTCACCGCGATACTGAGGTTGTTGGAAATTCCCGTCGGTCAATCCACCTCCCCGTACAGCGCATTGGTGGATATCTCGTCCGGTCTGGGTATCATGCTTGATCGCGATGGGCGGAAGCACCCGGTTGCCCATCATATTGCCCGGTGGATTGTGATGTCGCTCTCTCCCGCTTGCGTAGATGCCGAAGTTTCAGTCCTCACACAGCTGGAAGGTCTTATCCAAGCTGTTGAGACATTCTTCCATCCTTCCAACTCGGGGCATTGGACCAAGACCCTGTCACAACTGGTTTACTACCTGACTGATTTCTTCGTCAT